TCATCCTCTAGGTTAGAGTCTAGAAAACCACCTCGTTATTGTACATCGGGTTGTTGTTGTTATTATATTACATTTATCATTCCCTTTGGGTTCCTAATGGGACATGCGGCTTCAGTAGCACGTCTTCATCCCACTCTCTTCTCTGCAATCTCTTCAACCTGGCTCCACTACAGCCCACAAGCTTTCATTTCTTCCTCACACCATCTCCATGTCACTCTCGCCTCTCACGCCCAACTCGTCGTTTCCCATGTGGGGTTCCACTCGAGGACCTGGCCTGACGCGTAATGTCCCCAATCGGCCTTCTTAGTGCATGCCCGATCCATCTCCACTTTCTTATTCTGCATATTTGTTGGGTGATAGGTTCTTGGTTCGTTGCCAGCCAACCAGAGTCCTTTGTTGCTTATTCTTTCTGGCCATCTGAGCTTCAGTTACGAGCGTACATCGGGTACCAGTTATTAATTATTCATACTTACAGTTACCTGTCGATTACATTTGACCAAATCAATTGATATCTCGAGGGTTTTAGTCCCAACCGCTGGTGGGGTCACGGATGCTCACGTTTGAGGAGTCTCACATTGGGACAATACAGCTCTCTGGCGCTTCCAAGTTCTCAATGGTTCTGTAACTGGTGTCAGTTCATGGTGAGTTTTAAGTTGAAATTGTAACAAACCTCTAGGTTAAAATGAACAATCTACAGTTTAAAAACATTTAGTGCTAACCTTCATAGTTTGAATGAACTTATTTAATCAAAGGTATGAGGTCAAGCAATCATACAGCTCGGAACGTTATCATATTTTCTTACTTATACTCGGTTTCCAGTAAATAATTAGTTCGTAAATGCAGGTTACTTGGCATGGATACCTAAATCTGCCTTATCTCTTGAACAAAGGAATAGATATTGTTTCTTGATTACACATTCATAGGCTGAGATAAAGTAGAGGCGATTTGCAAAAAGCCTTGAGCCTAAGTTTCGGGCTATTTCGCAATCATCCGCAAGGCATATCTGCAACTTCTACGGAGGTGAAGTTCCGTCTGAGGTCCGAAACCACATCACTCACTGCTGTAGTCAGAGATGTTACTACTGAGATATCCAAGCAGCAACTGATTTTCTGTAGTCAAGTGCTGATCGCATTCTATCCATCATTTTGTATATGCATCTGAAGAGATCACGTCCATAATCTTCAAAATGTTTCAAACTGTACAGAGCAATCATCGCTTTAATGTTGGCAATGTATCCAAACATTTTTTTCTACCTTGAACTTTTGGTTGGACCTAGTGAGAAAGTCAATAAACCTAGAGACTTATGCTTTATCATAGGTCTAATCGTTGAAATGCTTCAGTTAGCAGTGAACCACACTAAAAAGATTTATTTGACGTGCAATGCAAATTGAATAGAATCACAAATGTGCATTATCAAACTGAAGCATATCAAGTGTTGACGATAGAAGAGGCAGTGAAGACGGGACTTCCTTCAAGTGAACGTAGAGAAGACAGAGGTAGAGGTGATGAAGATACCCAACCAACAAGCTCCAATCACCATCAACAGGAGAAACTTAAAGGAAGTAGCCTCCTTCACCTATCTAGGCAGCATCGTTTCAACTACAGGTGGCACAGGCACGGACGAGGACGTCAAAGCCAGGATCCGAAAAGCAAGACAGGCGTTCATCAACCTGAAACCAATGTGGAGATCTTCCGCACTCAGCATGTGGAACAAGATCCGGATTTTCAACACCAACGTCAAGTCAGTCCGCCTATGTGATGGTTGAGAGACTTGGCACGTTACAAAAAGCACTTCCAACAAACTACAGACACTCATCAACAGCTGCCTACACTCGGTACTGAAGATCAGATGGCCAGAAAGAATAAGCAACAAAGGAATCTAGTTGGCTGGCAACGAACCAAGAACCTATCACTCAACAAATATGCAGAATAAGAAAGTGGAGATGGATTGGGCTTACACTAAGAAGGCCGATTGGGGACATCACGCGTCAGGCCAGGTCCTCGAGTGGAATCCAAAAGGGGAAACGACGAGTTGAACGTGAGAGGCGCGGGTGATATGGAGATGGTGTGAGGAAGAAATGAAAGCTTGTGGGCAGTCGTGGCGACAGGTTGATAAGATTGCAGAGAAGAGAGTGGGATGGAGACGTGCTACTGAAGCCGTATGTTCCACAAGGAACCCAAGGGACAAATAATAATGATCTCTATCCTTTCACGTTAGAAAAAGTTGATCCCCAAAACAGTACATTCCTGCCTGCCCCACAATCGTCCGATGCCAGTGATATGGGTTTTCTCTTTAAGGGAATTAAAACAACCAAATCTCAAAGCAATAACCCACAAAAGGCTATAAATGATAGGTCTCAAGTAGATGTTCCATGAGCTGTGCAATCACACAAATCTTTTTATCTCTAAGGTACCTTGAAAAGAAATACCGTTTCACGGTGTGGACAGCCGGGAAATGTAAAACTATCCTCCTCAACCTGTCTCTTTCTTTGCCTTCACCTCTTGATACTAATATTAAGCCTCTTACACCTTTTTCAACCTCTCACTCTGCGATTCTTTCCAACTATCGAAGTTAATAAAACCTTATTCTTAGGGCTTCTACGATCCCTATGTTGATCTGTCTGGATTCACTACCCAATTGGATTTTTTTTCTTTGTTAATCGTTATCAGTGGTCAATTATTTCTTGTTCTTGCCTATTTCCTCACTAACTTGTTCCATTTAATGAGTAAATATCTTTTATATATATCTTTTACTAGCATCCATTCCTCAATCGCTTGCCAATTTATGAACCTATTAATTCTTGCCTTCCTCGAGGTGATGGAGGTTGCGGGTATTTTATCTAAGATTCACCGTTCACCAGTGGCAGTCTTTAAGATTAACTTCCCCAAAGTTCCAGCTGGAACTCATAGTCTGTGTGATTGATGAGGTCGTGTGTGAAGATGGATGCCTATTGATGACATTGAATGACACCTATGCCATAAATTTAACTGACTGTAGTTGGTTAACGAAAACTTAGTGATTTGATGAAAAAGTGTTTATCACGAGATCTGAGGGAACCAGAGGATCGGTTATGTTTGGTTGAGTCTTGTATACTACTGGAAGCGTGCAGGCGGTTGACACTACCCAACTGTCTACACCATGGAAGGTTAGTTCTTCCTGAGGTACGTGAAAAAGAAGGGATAGTGCGTGATGTTAGAGCCAAAGGGACATCTGTTTGGAAACGGTCATATACGGCCTTTTTGATAATTTGACAGTTTGGTGTTTTGTTTTCGAATCCGACGATAAATCGCAATTGCAGGCATACGCATGCCATGGGTGTTCTGTTTTTCGGGTTGACCTTTTCTAACCACTTCCCTCCCCACAGATTAGGCAACATCAGCATAGTACTGTTGATTATCCAAGGGAAACACCTTACTGCTGTCACACCCCATTCAACTAGTAGAAGCACTTCCCCCTCATCATAGCGTAGAAACTTACACTACGATGATAGCTGCTTTTTGTGTAATCCAACAAACTTTTCTGGTATAGTAGGACCTCAAGAAAACGAGCGTTCCACCACCACAGCTCGTTGGCTTATTATGATGTGCAACCCTGACCACCACGTTATAGTAGCAGCTGTCGGTCACGTACCAGTTTCAACCCATACAGAGTTGTGGTCGTAAATTTCTGAAGACTTAAACTGAGATGTAATAAACTGCACAGTCCTCGTGGGTTTCTTTTGAATGCTTGTCTGGATGACGTCAATCCGTAATGAAAAATGCTTTTTACACCAGTCTGATCTCCTTAAATCACTCAGTAGAATGGAGTAAATATTCTTAAGGTAGTTATCATCACTGACTGACATCAGTTGGAAAAATATGGAAGATTTTAGAGCAATGGATGGGAACTACCTTCAAATAAATAAAATCCCCATAAAAGTCAAACTACATTATTGTATAGTGTTCATTAGTGACAGGCTTCGAAATAGATATCCCGAAGTTCTAATGAGAAGCTGTGACCCGTGGATATCAACTGAAAACTATGGTGAATAGGCGTACTATATCACTATTGAACCCCCACCCAGTGGGGGATGGTTAACGCGTTCGTCCTGGGTGCCTACTGATGCGGAGTCCCACACTAGGATAACGAAACAGCTGTGCAGAACTATCAAACCAGTCCCAATAAATTTCCTAGGATAAGTGTGCTTTATTATCGGTTACACTAACTTCTAAATGGTTGGTGGGTTGCTAAAGTAAAACATTGAGTAACAATACAATATAATCCCTTTTTATTATCTGAGATAGCAGTCATGGTTTGGCAAACTCGTATTGATACCGGGTGATGATTGAAGGTGAAATGGAAACTTGAGTGGTGGAGGAGGGATTCAAACCAACGCATAGCAAGTTTCGCAGCTTAGTTAGAATAGAGCACCAGGGCAGGAAACTCGGTGGTCGCTGGTTCAAACCCACGCCACAGCCAAAATTTCTACTTCACCCTCAATCATCACTCACTAGTATTATTCCCTTTTGTTTTATTCACCAAACATAAAATTATAGGTCAGTGTTAAATACTGAAAAAGCAAGAAAGAGAGCTGTTCAACACAATAACCCGAAAAACTGTTTATACACTACCACCTAGCAACAGATAAAGAAAATCGATAAGTATATAAAAACCTACGTTTACCATATTATCTTGCATGACTTCATAAATCAATGGAGTATACCAAAACCTAATGGAATGACCTTAACATGAACGTATCCACTAGATTTTTACACTGTATGTTAATTATATTAAAAGAATAAAGAAGTTAAAAGGTAAAATTCCTGCCTTATAATTTTCATTAAATAATATTTACAAGGTAAAAGATCAGTTACCATGTTCTACTGTGTATACATGTTTTGTTTTAGAAAATATTCATAAAATCTTAAAAACATGATTATTGGATTATTCAATATGTTGGGTTGATTTAGAAGCATATATTATATATATATATATATATATATATATATATATATATATACTCCCCATCTTCTAGTACATTTTTAAACAGAGATGAACTGAAAGAAAAGTATGAAAAGAAAAACGCTTACTTTAGTTCATAAAACAATATAAAAACAAATAGCAGAAGTAAAAATAATATACACATAAAATTATAAAGGTATAATGTAGCTATGATATCATGTTCTCTATATTAGATGGATAGTAGTGAACTGATGAAAGTCTTATTATCAAACTAGATAGCATTATTAATAAAACACAATCTACAGAAAAATAAAATATTTATATGGCAAAAATGTTAATTCCCATATAAAGATAAGACTCTTTTTTCAAGGAATTTATTATCAAGTTGTACATTCATATATGTAGATATACAAGTTGAGAAATTATATCCCATGAATAAAACTAAACACTATATGATGATGATGATAATGATGATGATGATGACATAGGTATTTGTGATTATGATAACACTTGAGGTATGAATGATAACAAACTAGATTACGTAATATATGAAATGGTTCATAGGAGGTATATAACTGAGAAGGGGGTGAAACTGGAAACTCATTAAAATGAAGGCAATTCTAATGACAATATTAGTGATAAAGGAAGAATACAAAGATTAAATTAACAAAGATGGAAAGAGAAACTAACAGGCATAAGATTCACAGTTAAGTTAATGATATCGCGATAAATTTTAAGTAATTAATAAGTTATATCAACGTTTACTACTGAAATGTATTATCAGTAGTGTCGTAGTAATGAAGAAATAAACATGAATTGCACTACTTTCAAATCTCAGGTGATGTTTAGTTAGAATGCAATAAATACTTAACATCGATTCCGCAGTCAAAAATTAGATATCAATTAAAATTAAATATCTATATAGAAAATAAAAAATTAATCATAGAAAGTGAATGAATTAGAAAAGCTGTACAGTAGATATATCACTATCTACACTGATTGAACCAGATGAGGAATAAGATGACAATGATGACATAGAAGAAGGACAAGATGATGATGTTGAAGTATGCAGCATAGAATATAATGAAGCAGTTGATGTAGGAGATAATGAAAAACAATGATCCTCATGTTCACATTCTTCTTCTTCTTCTTGTTGATAATTATGCATAAGTGAACGAGAAATTGAAGGTAGATCACAGATATTACGTAAAAATCTAGACAATTTAAATAAAATTGTACATCCAGATTGAGATAAAAAACGAATCATCCATCTTAAATGAATCATCAATGACTGTTCATTTAAATACTCGTATATCATATGTGAAATAGAATTTCTGTATAGATTAAAACTGAAAATAAAGGCAAATCAGTCAAGGATTAGCAGTAAACATGAAGATTTCAATATGAGGCATGATGACGTCATCAGAAGACGTCTAGTAATAGATCATAAATCACCTACAGTAATGAATAATATACCCTGACCACCTTCTGCTTCACATTTCACAATATGTATACAAGTTAATCAACCAGAGTGTACCTAATTTACAACATCATCATTTCGACTGACACTGATAAAATCAACGCAAAACCTTGTATACAACAATAATCTCCAATTATTGATTCCTTTCGTCTCGGAGACCTCAAATAAATGGTCTACGTCGCCCGATACAATTCACACCAATAAGAAGAGACTTCATCAACTAGTGTCAGGTTTTAATCTGGCTATCCGGAACCTTCTTCAACTTATAGGAAACACATAAGTAGGACTCGAAGCTCAAAAAAGGAATGTTAACTGGTTTACCGAAATACACATAAAGTAACTACAGTATAAAGGCGTAAATCCTAGAATATACCCAGCCTTCTGCCAGTATACTCATTCAATAGCCCATTCATAGATGTGTGTAACACAGCACATTAATACGTTATACTCCCTACCCTTGAGTTTTTAGGAATATACATCGAATTCGATACAAAAAGAATAAAGATTGGACTGTTGATATTGTGTTTAACTATCGCTAAAAACCACCTTACCAGATCTCATCAGAATATACATAAAAATGATTAAATTAGATGTGTATTTAACCTCGCCTAGTTAACTAGTCAACTACCGGTCCTAAGCCCGGAAAAAGGGGGGAGGTCGGGCGTGGGTCTGGCGACCCAACCCCGGAAAATCATTACAATCTCTAAAGAAACTTCAAAGCATAGAGGAAATATTAAAAAAAACTTGTTCATCGCTGGAATTAGGAAGACGAAATGATACCGATTGGTGAAAGCCTTCGGGAAGCCAGTCGGCCGATGCGTCTTCTCTCGATGAAAGCAGAAGTAAACATAGGGACACGGAAAGTCCGCACCATGTTTGAACCTAGCAAGGCTGCCCAAGTTGCAAACGACATGAGGTATGGGATCGAAGTGCTTGTAATATGCAAGGAATTTCAAAATTGAATGGAAGTGAACTCTCCAAACTATCAACTGGAGAGGAGTCAATAATCTACTCCGGTGCTGTCACCCAGACCACAATCACGAGCACACTGAGTTTTGGAGTGGCTATCATGATGTCCCCAACAGTATCGAAGGTCCTCATGCAGTGGGAACCAATCTCCTTCAGGATCAGGATCATGACAGTAAGATTCAAATCAAGAGGAAGGAAAGTCACAATCATACAATGCTACGCTACACACCTAAAATAATGCAGGTCAAGAGAAGAAGGAGGAATTCTACACACAGCTGTAATCAGTACTGGACAAGACTCCAGTTGGCGACATCAAAATTCTAATGGGTGGAGTGACATGAATATCAAACTGGGAGCGGATAACACAGGAAGAGAATTTATCATCGGTCGAGAAGTACTCGGTGAAATGAATGAGAATGGAGAACTGTTTGCAGACTTCTGCACATTTAACGACTTGGTGATTGGAGGCAGTGTGTACAAATACAAGGATATTCATTAAGCGACATGGATTTGATTTCACTAGACGGACGCACTAAAAATCAGATCGACTTCATCTCAATTTCAAGAAAGTGGAGACACAGTCTACTGGACACAAGATCAAGAAGGGGAACAGATGGAGGTTCACACCACTCACTATCTAGTGCAAGGGACCCGCAAAATTAAGTTGAAAGCCTCCAAAGAAGTTGGTGATAGACCACAGTTCAAGTTCAACACCAAGAACAGAAACTACAAAGGACATCTTCATGTCAGTCAGTCATCAGGACAAAATAGGAAACACTGAACAAGATCCCTGAAGGATCGAGCACGTGGAAGAACACTGGAACTCTGTGAAAGAGACGAGATAGGAAACCTGCATAACCGTGTTAGGAAGGAAGAAGAAACAGGACAAAGAAAGGATTTCGACGGACATATGGAAGCCGCATCACCATAGAGAGAGAGACTGCAAAATGCTCTGCATTCAAAATTACGACCGGAACAGGCTGGCTGACTTCAGGAAGAAAAATCATGTGCGGATCAAATTACAACGATACGCTATGCATCGTCATAGAACAGAGTATAGAATGCAAGTCAACTCAACTCTACCTCGACTTCATCGACTTTGAAAAAGCCTTCCTTCGATAGTGTCCACCGAGAAGTAATTTGACAAGCAACTGCTTCAACACTACAGTTTTACTGCCACGAATCTTTAACAACCTCAATCAACAATACCTATATGCCATATGACGACGCAACACAATGGAAAGCTCGATGATACCTTTGAAGTGAATACAGGAGTAAGACAAGGTTATCGCCTACTATCACCGATCATCTTCCTCATTGTGGTCGACTCGATTCCACTGGATCATGCAACAAACAACTGTGAGGAGCTGTGAGAAGATGGCGATACGCTGTTTGACCAATGAAAAGACCTCAGAAGAAGATTTGGATTTCACCAACGATGATGATTTATGTCTAATGTCGCACAAACTCGAAGATCTACAGGAGAAAATCAACAAGTTGGCAGAAAAGGTAGGGCAGGACAGCGAAGACTGAACTTCCTTAAGGTGGACATAGGTTCAACTAGGAACCCAGGAGACATAATAATAATAATAAATGTACATTTGGGGGGGGGGGTGAACAATAATCACAAAGATTTTAACTAAGTCATGAAGAAATTAGAGATTAAGATGCAAATAATCAATAGAGTAATTGAAATTGGTATTGTGGAGTAGATTATTCTTAGGTAAATGGAGTGATTTTTGATGGGTGGAGGCTATCCAGAGAAGTTTGTAACTAAGCATATGAATGTTATGAAGGTTAAAACAAGTCGGCCAAAAGTTCCTAAGAAGAAAAACTTTTCGAAGCTGACATTGCCAGTGAGATCATTACAAGAGGCATAGAAAGAACCTAGCAGAAAGCATTTCCCGTCGCTAAATTACGTCCCATCTTCTACAATCACGCAATTCTGGGTGTAAGAAATAAAGACAAACTGCTTTATTCTCCCTATTCGATGTACAGTTATCAATTAAACTGTTCCTGTGGAGCTAGTTACATTGGGAGTACAATGAGGCAGATTCATTGTCATATTTCTGGGCACCGCCCATTATGGTTGAGCAAGCGACAAATTAGAACAATAAACAGCTCCATACTTACACACTTAGTTGACACAGGACATCAGGTGGATACTAAAAAAGCTTTCAAAATTACTCATCATATTCGAATTAACTTACCACATGGATTATGCACTCGCTTACTTCGCATAGCAGAGGTGATTACAATCCATCCACCTTAACAAACCTAACCTTTCTATTCAAAAGACGTTTGTTCAACCACTTTTATTACTGTAGTCGTTAACATGATGTAACTTCAGGTATTACTTTGTAAACATCTTCCCGCCCCCCAACTGTTTCTATCAATATTCATTTGTTTTCTTATTGTTACGTAATTGTTTATTGTGAATGTCTGAACAGTCATCAAAAACCACTCCATTTACGTTCATGACTTAGTTAAAATCTCTATGATAATTGCTCACTAACCCCTCCCTCCTACTTGATTGGTATTTTGATTGAATTCTAAACCTACACATATTAGTGTAAAGCCCTAGACGAAGACCTAATTGAAAGGGAACATATTTCTTCGCTGGCTTAATCACTCTTTTCTCTAAATGTCTAAATGGAAATCTATTCAATGTACTGAAAAATAATGTTGAAGATATTCATGACAAAAGCAAGTTCAAAAAGAACGAACACTGTTGACCCCATAGTTCGACTACATAAGCTGAAAAAAAATCTATTCACAACGAAATAAAACTACAGGATTAGCATGTGACAAGATAATTATTACAGGAAGAAGACTCCTAGAACTATGAATCACTAATTTAAACAGTTAGATGTGAACAAATTATGAAAATTCATCAAAACAGCGCCTAATTAACAAAATAAAACTATACTACTTAATAAAATAGAAAGTAGTACGACGAACAATAGTAATAATTTATACAACAGACTATGCATAATCTTATGAGCTGAGGACTGAGAAAAGTAACAAATAATAAAAATTATGTATATCTAAGGATTACTTGACTCAGATAATGATTATAATCATAACATATCTTATGAATATCACTTTTTATCAACGATAAAATACAAAAAATTAATAATAAATATAACAAATAAGGATACACTGGTTTAACATCTAAAAATCCTCCATTTGTATGCAAAACATATGTACACCCATCAGCAGATTTACCATCAATTGTATAACAACCAGGACGTGTATGTAAACAGATGAAACCACGTTTCTCATAGAAGTGTCTTGCAGATATATTACTGTCTAAAACATGTAGATATACAGCTTGTACAGGAGAAATAGGCGGTAATTGTCTTAATAAATTATACAGAGATTGATAATCTGTAGTACACCATTGTAGAGATGACATTGTCTTGTTACCCTAAGTGTAGAAATATTTTTACAAAGAAAAGGTAAAGCAAGAATACAGTGGTAAAATGCATGATTATAACTACTACTCATTCCAGTACAAACATCTTCATGAATGAATCATCAAGATGAAGTTCTCATCTTTAGCCTTCAGTGAATTTCATTGATTAAGTGATCCATTATAGCCAACAGGTCAAGTCATCATCAATATAAGACCAGACATTACTACGTAACGGTCCAAGTTCCTAGATGTCGTATTAGCATATCAAATAACAAGCCAGTAAAAATGGAAGATGAAGAAGGCAAGAAAAATCGGTTAACCATTCGACTTTCACAGTCCAACCAGAACAAGATAATTGTCGATTTCTGATACAGTCAGCTAAGTGGACTTGCGTGTCTAACCTAGTACTTTCCAGATGATGGAGAGTATTTCCAGTTTAGGAAGATAATTTTCGATGATGTTGTGTTCTCTGATATGGATTGTTGAATCCTTGAGCTTTCATTGTCATTCTACACAACATCATTATCAAAAATTTCAGAAACAAGTGAGCGACAACGAATGTCTCCTCCACAATTTATTTCATAGCTCATCCTAATGGCTTGTGTATAACTGGTGGATTCTCTCGAGATTTTGTCATTGTCTCCGCATTCTATTTCATTGATTGTCGTGATGACCAGAAATTTGAACGGCTTGGTGTTTCGTATTGGTTGATAGATTGAGTTAGTGTCAAGATACCTGCTGCTTGCTGATTGATTACAATCATCATCACCAACATAGGACCAGGCATTACTGCGTAACCGTCCGAGTTGCCACACCTCATATCACCACATCAAGTAAATGGACAGTGAAGTGGAAGATGCAGAGAAGAAAATTCAGTCAAAAGAAATATGATGTACAAAAGGAGAGAAAGGAAGAACGAGAAAACGGTGAGATTCTTCATAGCATCGTTAAGATGAGAATGATAATATGTGTGGGGATACATCTGCGCCACTCACATCGGTTCTCAGCTGTGTCATCACTGGTTCCTCTTGTCCCGCCGAACCCAACCGACCGATCTGCATCGGATCACATGGCTCAAATCAACAGTCAAACACTTCATACATTGATCCCATGCCATGCTTTAGTCTGGCTGCCTCGGGCCTTATTCCACCCTAAACCTACTTCCACCAACATTGTGTGACGAGGCAATCAACGACTAGGCATACGTAACACATGTCGGAGACAACAATCTCAGTCGATGAAGGTCCACAACCGTGTCAACTGACTTACCTCTTCTCCCTAAAACTCTACACCTGACTTGTGCTTTACTCACGTGGTGACACCACGACACAAGGTTCATACTAGGAAGGCAACAGTGGTCAAACACCTGAAGCCAGCCTTCTCATATCTTCCACCTTCAGTGGCCATGTTTCAAAGTCGTACAGTAGGACAGGGAGGACTGGTGTACAGTACACGCGATCCTTAGTAGACAATCGGATATCCCCGCGGTGGCGCCTCAGGTGGCGTAAGTTGGCAAAAGCCAATCGAGCCATTTGTATCTGTGCAGAGATTTCATCGGCCACTGAGCCACTAGGACAGGGGTGATCCTACTTCTCAGGTAAGTGAAGTGGTCGACACACAACCATGGCACAGTTAAAGACCAATTCTGGAGCAGCAATTTGCATTTGGGTGATGAGAAACGCATCCTAAACATTCTCAAAATCCCACTCAAAGACTGATTCCAATACTAAGCTTCTAAAAATTCTATGGCATTTCTTTTACTTTGAAAATGCCATATATATATTAGTGTAGAGCCATTGATAAGGAACTAATTGAAAAGAAATGTTTCTTCGGTCACATTGTTTGTTTTACTAAATTTACAAATATAATAATACAACTCACATTTTTAAAGTGCTCAGCATTATTGTATTCATCTTCAGTGGTAGATATATTTGGATGGTTAAATAAGTTAACTTGACGACTGAAATTAATTAACCATTCTATATTTTCACCGGATACATAAGCAATGAATGATTTTAGTAGAATAGATGCTTAAATGATTGTTGTAAATAGTTGGGAAAAAAAGGATGAAAGTAGAATTAATTAGAAGTATACAAATATATACATTCAAATTACATTAATACTCTCATATAACAATATTCAATAGGGTGAATATTTTTACAGGAGATTTGATTAATTCCCAGACTAAATTATCGTAGAATCTTGCAAAAAAGTGCATCGAATCAAGTTGCCACACTTCAAAGTAGCAAACAAAGAACAAGTAGATAGAAAAAAAAACTGAAATTCAAGCAGAAAACGGTGAATGAGAGGGTTAATGATAGTACTCAAGGTATAGAAGATATCACAGAGTGAATTTTATTATTGTTTGTCCATTGGGTTTCTAGTAGAGCATATGGCTTCATTGGCACGTTGCCATTTCACTCTCTTCTCTCCAGTCTTCTCTTTCAATCTGCCACACCACTGCTTACAAGCTTTCACTTCTTCCCCCAACAATCTCCTCTATATAACCCTCACCTCAGACGTCTAACTCGTCGTTCCCCATTTGGCTTGACGGTCTGGTCTGACCTGACGCATGATGTTCCCAAACAGTCTTGTCAGTGTATCTCTAATCCAATCCATCTCCACTTTCTTCTTCATATTTGTTGGGTAATAGGTTGTTGGTTGGTTGTGACAACAGCCAGAATTCCTTGTTGCTTATTCTTATTATTCTGGTTATCTTATCTGATCTCCAGTATCGAGTGAGCGTAGGAGGCAGCTGTTGATGATGAATGTCTGTAGTTTGTTGGAAATGCTTTTCATAACTCACCAAGTCTGTGAACTATCACATAGAAGCACTGACTTGACTGACTAGGTGTTGAAAAGCCGGATCTAGTTCTTTATCCTGCAGTGCGGTGCAGTGCAGTAGATCTCCACACTGTTTCAGATTAATGAAGGCCTGTCTTACTGTCTTTCCTATCCTGGCTTTGACGTCCTCACCTGTGCCCGTGCTGCCTGCAGTTGAAACGATGCTGCCTATGTAGGTGGGTAGGTAAAACAGACAACTCTTTTCAGATTTCTCCCGTCGACAGTGATGGTCAAAGACTGAATACATCTGCTCTATTGTGACCAATTTTCAGCTATCTCAACGAACAGTCCTCAACCGCTGATTCCCATCAATTCGTAGGAATGAACAGCTAAGTACTTGCCCTCCGAATGACACTTTAAATTGTCACATAACACATTATTACATAGACGTGGAAGTTAACAAGAGAAGAGACATAGAAAATAAAATAGAAAGATTCATAGTTGTGACAAACCCACCAAAAAAGTGCAAATAGAGAAGACAGATGATATTATACTGAGATGAAGAGGTAGTTTCATTTGGGCCATATTGTCTAGAGTCTTAAAATCAGTGATTGCAATTCTCGTAGAACCCCATCCCTATGTAGGACATTCATTGTCCCGTAAGGTTCTTAAGCCTAGCCATCCTAACTACTCTTTTAGTCTAATCCTATTCCAGATAAAATAGAGACAGTCAGTTGGTATGAATGCTGCATGCCCTGTCTGTTATACGGCTGTGAGATAGAGCCGTTAAAAGCAGAAGATATGAAGCAGTTGCAATATTTTTATCACAGGTGTATACGTAGCATTGGTTCCGTTTGGTAGAATCCTCGTGTGAGCAATATTGAGGTCAGGCGAAGGGTAATAGGCAAGACAGACAAGTTGATTGATGGGGTTGTGAACCTTTATCGTCTGAGGTGAGTTGGACATGTATAGCGCATGCTGAGCCACCGCCTACCTTAACGTGCCATGCTATAGGAAATTACGTTAGGTTGGAAGAGGGTTCAGGGTGGTCAGACCAGGACTCGACACAAGTCGATGTAATGTCTTACTGTTGGTTTGAGGCGTATGGAGAGATGTATACTTCCTGGTTGTGTTCCACGAGACGATGGGAATCAGTGGTTGAGTACCCTTACGGAAATGGATGAGAATCGGTCGCAGTGATGCAGATGTATTCACTCTTTAATATCCTGTAAAGCTTGAATATTTTCACTAACTCTTATCTTCAAGCTGTTTATTCTCTCATACAACCTTGTCTACTTTGATATCACTTTTTCTATTTACCTGTTCTTCGTATACTGCTGTGGGGTGAGGTAACTTGAACCAATGCACTAGTGTGTGACGCTCTACGTTTATTTTGCCTATTCGTCTCTCTCACATACACAGTCTCATCAAATAACTTGCTTTCTTTACTTATTATCGTATGCCTAACCTCTGTTCTTATCACACTCAACCAATGATATATGAATGGAACTGACTGACTGAAAACACTAACATAGAACCTCGCACAGGAGTGCATCGGTTGAAGTTGCCACAATTCACATTAGCACACAAATAACAGGTCGATAGAAAAAGAGTGATAACAAAGTAGATAAAGTTGTGTGAAATAATAAACAATTTGAGGATAGAGGTTTGCAGTAATATTTAAGCTTTTGAAAATGCCAAGGAGTGAATAAATCTGTGCCACTGCGACTGATTTTCAGGTATATCACACAGAGTCCTCAACCACTGATTCCTATCATCTCGGTGACGACCTTAATCAGGTAGCCTACATCTCTCCACTCAGCTCAGATCAACAGTCAGGTACTTCATCTTGGTCTGGCCGCCCTGAGTCCTCTTCTAACCTAATCCAACTTCTCCCAGCATGGCACGTCGGGATAGGCGGCGGTTCAGCAAGTGCAACACATGTCCAAGCCATCTTAGTCGATTAAGGTTTACAACCACGTCAGTCGACTTACCTGTCTTACCTAGTACCTTACGACTGACCAGAACATTGCTCACACTGTGATTCCATAACATGTAGGCAAAACTACGACGACACCTATGATCAGAACCCTGCAACCGCTTCATGTCGTCTGCTTTGAACGGCTACGTCTCCCAGTCGTACGACAGGACAGAACGGACTGCAGTGCAGTATACTTATTCTTTGATAGATACCCGCATATCTCGCTATGCTGGAAGCTGGTGCTAGCTAGAAATAAATTATGATGTGTAAAGCTGTAGATGCTCCCTAATATCTGACCTGTAACCAACTACTTATCATTGGACACCTAAAAGACAGTTTTCTAGGCCTAGACATCTGAATTGCGCACTCAAGTCTCCAGCTAGCTCCACGATATCTATCAAGTGTACTCATCAGTGGTCAGTCAGCTTATGGTAGAAATCATTCTTAACTGTATACGGGCAGGAATTAGTTGAGCCAAAGACTGATGGAGAAGAAATCATTTCCCTTGTCACATCTCATCCCAATCGAGCCTTCTAGCCAGGCAGTACACAGGTGGGTGTTGATGAGCAAATGATGAGTGAGACAATCACTGAAAATGATGAGACCCCAACAACCCTTCAAAATAGACAGCTAGAGCGTTGGGCAGAACACTTTGAGGCACGGCTCAACTAGCCCACAACAACGTTCCAGTTGTCCATCATTCCAGCCTAACCTGAATGCAGAGGAGGTGTCGATCCTTCAACTGCCCTCGAAATTAGAAAGGGCGTTTCTAACCGCAAACGATGTACAGTAGCAGAATCTAACGGCTTACTACCCTAAGTTTGTAGTGATGGGGGTAGGAAATTACCGAGTAGATTAACGGAAATACTAGGTAGTGTGTGGGGATCAGAAGTAGTCCCATCAGACTAGTCCACTTCAGTGATCATTCCAATCTATAAAAGGAAAGAGGTTTTCTTGTGACAACTATGAGACGACCAGTCTAACTAACTTCGTCCCCAAGATACCTAGGTCTATAGTTGTCCCACGACTAAGTGGAGCTTGAGAACAGCAAACTTGTAAAAACCAGGCAGGTCTCAGACCTAGACGAAAGTGCGTCAATCACATCAGTCAACATGCCTCACTGTTCTAGGCACTTGATTTACAACCGATGGATAACAGATTCTAACCCGGTTTCACCTACCGAGGTTTGGGTAGCCAGGTAGTATCTTTAGCCCTCACAAAACATATGTGGCTCATTTCCTTCTGTATGAATGGGCACAAGGTTGCTCAGTGGATTTCGAGGTGTTGTCGCAGTGCCTCACTGTGAAAGAAGTACCAAGCAAATACAGAAGGCTAATCAAAGTTTCCCCCTAAAACTCATGCAGTCGTGTAAGGGATTATGGAGAGGTGTCATCAGAATTGACAACAACTAGTGGTGTCCTGCAGAGATGCACGATATCACCGTCCCAGTTCAACTTCGTCATAGATATACTAGTGGATATAACCTTAGGTAGATCTGAGTTCACATGGATTGATCTACTCCAGGGAGGCTATCTGGTTGACTTGAAGTATGCAAACGATATTATCCTCCAAGGTGAAGACGCTGACACAATGCACGGGCTCCTGAACATCTTAAGCAGAATTGTTTATTTGATATAAAGCGCACAGTGATACAGTATTATTTAATTGATTACGTTTCGAGCATAAATTATTGCTCATAATCATATCAATGTAATCACACTTCTTTCGACATCTGATTTTATAGTCCTGTCACCTGATCTTTCTTTGTTTTTTTGATTGGTAGTAAAGTTTTCCATATCTCTGGTATAGATGTTGCGTCATTCCTATTACATGTGTTGGGTGTGGATTCGATGAACAAAGATTCAGTAATTAATCTCTCTCTCCACCTAGCTATATTAGACCTAAGTACAGTGGTTTTGTCCCATCCTATTGTGTGGTTGTGTGTTAATGAATGTAATGCAATGGCTGAGTGTTTTTCTAGGTTATTGATCTTATTGGGGTCTGCCGTTCTATGTTTAGCTAAATTCCTATGTTCTGTTAATCTAACTGACCCCGACCGGCTAGTTTGACCTATGTATTTGACTTCACAGTCATTACATGGAATTTGGTAGATTATATTATTTTGCTTAATTGGTTCTATCGGATCTTTTAGCCGACAAAGCTTACCTCTAAGTGAGTTTGTTGGTTTAAATGCCACCCTAATTCCAACCTTGTTGAGAATCCTACGTATGGTTTCTGATGTTCCTTCCTTGTATGGTATTACAATAGGGGTGTTGATTTCCTTTCTACTTATGTTGTCACTATTATTTGTATTTGTATTAGTGTTATTATTTTGCTTCTTATGCGTCCGTGTGAATTTCTTAATAAAATGATGGGGATAATTATTAATTATTAACGCTTCTTTTATGTGTTTCAATTCCTTATTTAAGTTCTTACAATGACTAGTGAGTTTCTCAGCTCTGTTATTTAGACATTTGACTAAACCCGCTTTAACTGACAGGTCATTAATGACCTGCACATAGAAGAGGATGAAAAAATGGTTAGTTTTGACGTAACAAGTCTTTATACTAAAATACCAATCAATATGGCACTGGAGGCAGTCAGAAATCAACTAGATACTGACTCACAACTTACTCAAAGAACCAAGGCATCGGTTGGTGAAATCATGTTAGGAGTGCAGTTATGCTTAACCTCGACAGTCTTCAAGTTTCAGGGAAAGATTTACAGACAAACAGAAGGAGTAGCAATGGGATCACCAATATCCCCTATAGTAGCAGATATATTTATGGATAGTTGGGAAGATATGGCTTTACGAACATATAATCCGACACCTAAGATATGGTGGCGATATGTAGATGACACATTTACAGTGTTGAAATCGGAACATATCGACAGTTTCTTGACACACATAAACTCAGTAGTTAACGCAATCCAATTCACTACGAAGTAGAAAATGAACAAGGAGAATTACCTATGTTGGATTGCAGAATAAAACGAAGGATAGATGGTGGTTTAGATACTACCGTCTACAGAAAACCAACACATTCTAACAGGTATCTAGACTTCAAGTCATCTCATCCAGTGTCAGTTAAAGCGGGTTTAGTCAAATGTCTAAATAACAGAGCTGAGAAACTCACTAGTCATTGTAAGGACTTAAATAAGGAATTGAAACACATAAAAGAAGCGTTAATAATAATAATTATCCCCATCATTTTATTAAGAAATTCACACGGACGCATAAGAAGCAAAATAATAACACTAATACAAATACAAATAATAGTGACAACATAAGTAGAAAGGAAATCAACACCTCTATTGTGATACCATACAAGGAAGGAACATCAGAAACCATACGTAGGATTCTCAACAAGGTTGGAATTAGGGTGGCATTTAAACCAACAAACTCACTTAGAGGTAAGCTTTGTCGGCTAAAAGATCCGATAGAACCAATTAAGCAAAATAATATAATCTACCAAATTCCATGTAATGACTGTGAAGTCAAATACATAGGTCAAACTAGCCGGTCGGGGTCAGTTAGATTAACAGAACATAGGAATTTAGCTAAACATAGAACGGCAGACCCCAATAAGATCAATAACCTAGAAAAACACTCAGCCATTGCATTACATTCATTAACACACAACCACACAATAGGATGGGACAAAACCACTGTACTTAAGTCTAATATAGCTAGGTGGAGAGAGAGATTAATTACTGAATCTTTGTTCATCGAATCCACACCCAACACATGTAATAGGAATGACGCAACACCTATACCAGAGATATGGAAAACTTTACTACCAATCAAAAAAACAAAGAGAGATCAGGTGACAGGACTATAAAATCAGATGTCGAAAGAAGTGTGATTACATTGATATGATTATGAGCAATAATTTATGCTCGAAACGTAATCAAGTAAATAATACTGTATCACTGTGCGCTTTATATCAAATAAACAAATCTAATATGGAACTACATTCTACCACAGTGCCCAAGTTTTTCACTTATATCTTGAGCAGAAACCTGAGTATGTTCAGTATGTATTTCATACCCATCAAATGTTGCTTCAGGATTGGTCTGGAGTTACTCCCAGTTTCTTGATAGAGTTCAGTGGTTGAGTACAAAGACTACTTCAGCAGGAACAGGCTGGTTCCTGAAGAAATCTCATCTCAAATACATAAAGCGCTTTTGTCTTTTGTCGACATGCGTTATCTCTGGCAACAATCTACGAGATCTCTGAGTAGCAGTTAAACTATGACTATCATGTAGTTTGTTCTGTCCTGCTATTCGGTTGTGAGAAATGGGCCTTGAAAGTAGAATATATGAAGAGACTACAAACTTTTGAGTACAGGTGACATCATAGAATTGCTTGCGTGAGGTGGAATAACCGTGTGAATAATGTCGAGGTTAGTATAATACGATTAAACAAGACACAACTCGGTCGATGAGGTTGTGAACCCTCTGAGATTGAGGTGGTTTGGACATGAGTCGCACATGCTGAGCCACTTCCTACCTTGTTGTGATGCTAGCAGGTGAAATAGGTTGGATGATGGCTTAGGGTGGCGAAACCAAGACGTGGTACCAATCCATGATATTAATCCACGAAGTTCATGCGAGCCATGTACGCGAAAAGAAACCTACTGTTTGGGGTCCGCGTGACAGCAAAAATCGGTGGTCAGACTCAATATGACATGGTCCAGAATCAACTGCTAACAGAAGACAAGAGGGCCTGAGTCTTACTGATATTTCACTGGCATATAGTACTAGAAAACAGTCTGTAAACTTCCTTGAGGTGCACAACTCTTCACCGGTCCCCACGATGACAAGCCATCTCTAACTATTACACTCCATTTTCAGGACCAGAGAAAGTTCATAACTCATCTTTCAGCTTGAAGTAAGCCCCAAAACCTTCCATCTATAGCAGAACCAATAAGTCAACAGTTTTTCGATGTCGATATGCTGATATTTCGGTAAGGCCAACCCGCAATAATTCTTTCAGCAATGGGTGAAGGTTATATATACAGCTGTATATATAATCAGGGATAATCGCTTATCTAGATAAAGGACCGTAAGATAAACGATTCAGATAGTAGACTTACCAACACCTTTGGACCTATATGCTCCAGTAACGCCTAAACTGAGTATATATGCGACATTAGTTGAAAGTGGGAAACTTGTAGAAAGCAATTTGCGATCCTGAAATGTGTAACTAACTTAATGGTGGAAAACCAACATCAAAACTGCAGTTGCCAAGAGTTAATACAGTTCCAACTAACACACCAATTATATCGCCATCGGAAATAGCCACGATAGAAATAAGGGACGGATTCTCTAGGAGATTATGAAACCAGGACACCGGATAGCTTTTCATAAATGATATTTACCAGGCATACCTGACAGGGAAGCATTCCTCATATAGTGACTGTAACTTTTCTATGTCTTCTTCTGAAACTGAGCGGAACCTTAAGACGCTACTATGGGACTCCGCCCCCATGTCCTTCGCGCATATCTGAACTTGAGGATAAGTTGCAATTAGCGCAAAGGTCATCAATTTCAATCTTCAATGATAGTTCAAATAGTTGTTGCCGGAATAGAAGAAACTTTCGCTTAACTTTCTTCTGCGTCTACATTCCGTGGATCACCACTCCTTGTAGTTTTTAACTTGTGTAAAAGCAAGATAAGAGAAAAAAAGTGGCTGTGAAAATGCGATAATTCAATTAGCTCTGGAAAGATCCCAGACACATGTCAAGTGGGTATACAGTTGACGTTTAAAGGACTCAGAAGAAGTGGCCCGGATCACATCTCCGGGAAGGGCGTTCCAGAGTTTAACAACTCCTGGGGAATAGAAGCTGTGTCTGACATCTAATCTGCTACGTTCCACGCCGTTTCCGTGTATCCTCTTGGATTAGTGCTACAGCTAAAACTTTGTAAGTGACGGAGTGGGTAGCCAGGCGTACCCAGAATGTTGTGAGTCATTATAAAGTCTCCTCTTAGCCTTCTCTATTCCGGAGGCACAGATTCAGCGCAGCCGGTCCTTCTTCGTATGTTTTAGACCTAATGTGCATCTAACATTACCCATCATCAATGACGCTAGGAGATGAAACGCACAACTTCTGAGCTCTCGCCTCCAGATCTTGACGATTTTTATCTATTTCCGGTCTTGCAACACTTTTTCTTCGAAGATCTAGTTTCTCACTGAATCCTTCAGGAATGGATGTAATACCACATGCTATGTTTGTTTACGGGCTCAGATTCAGATTTGTTGTTTGAGGATGTGAGGCCGGGGGCCTATATTAATCCTTTTCCAGTAAATTTATGTGCTTGTCCGATCCCGTCTTGAACAAGTCAGTCGGTGATGCTGATACCTTTTCTTCTGGGGGCCGATTCCAGGCGTTGATCACTAGACGCAAGAACCAGTACTCTGCGGAAGGTATATCCATTCTTTGCCTTTGTAGTCTCCTACTACGTCCTCTGGGGTGTTCCAACCTACAGTGGACGAAAAAGGAAGATAAATCGGGTCTGAAGGCGTTTCCTGGGATCTTGTGTAGTCTGAATAGGTCTCCCCTCTATCTGAGATAGGAGAAAGTGAAAGAGTTCATCTCCTCAGGTTGGTCTTCATAGGCGAGGCCAGATATCTCAGGGATCATACGGATGGCTGCCCTCTGAACCCCCTCTAGAGGGTCTGCGTCACTTTTCAGACATTACAGCGCAGTTTTCTTATTTAGACCTAACTAGGGATTTGTATGAGATTGTGAACATATCACCACTTATTTTCGTTGAAGTTCGACGTAGTACCCAGAGAGTCCTAAAACTCTAAGCTGCTGACAATCGACAGTGAGTTGTGGTTTTCAAGTCACAACTCAAGAGGACTCGCGGGTCATTGTGGGTCAGTAATGATAGTAAAGGAGTACCATCAGTATCGTAGGTGCTGCGGTGTGTGTACTCCACGTGCATGCTTACACATTTACCTGCATTGATAGACATCAGCCACTTCTCTGACTAGGTAAACAAGCTATTCAGGTCTCCCTGAAGCTCACGTATATCCTCATCGTTCCTAATTTCCAGCCAGATTTTTACATCATCAGCATAGAGAACCACGAGGGATTTCGTGATATTTGGCAGTTCATTTACGTATGAGAGAAACGGCAGGGGACCCAGGACTGTGCCTTGCAGCACTCCACTCTCTAATGACTCCCAAGAGGAGGGTTGGGAATTGTTCCTTACTCTTTGTCACCAACCAAAAGAGAACTCTCCTATCCATGCCTGCTGACTGTCGGTGACTCCGAAACTTTCCAGTTTCCAGAACAGCCTGGAGTGAGGCATCTTGTCGAATGCTTTACTAAAGCCTGTGAAAATGATATCCACAGGTATCCTATCATCTTTAGACTTAACCCAACTTTCTCTGAGGTTCCTCGAGCAATAGAAATTTCTACAAAACCGTGCTACAAATGAGACGATAGACTATTGGTCTCTTGATGGACTGCGATGACTATCTCGACTACCCTTTCTAGGATTTTCACTACAGCACTATTCATACTTATCGGCTTGTAGTTTGACGGCAGCTGCCTAGAACCTGCCTATGGATAGGTGTTACTGTGGCATCCTTCCAGTTATAGGCGAGCGTGCCTCCCCTGAGAGACAGTCTAAATATGGTAGTCACTGGGTCTGCTACATAGAGTACAAGCTCTCTGAGCAGCCTTGCCTGCAGCTCATCTGGTCCCGTTGAGTTTTCCATATCGAGAGTACTTAATGTCCGAAACATATTATCACGATCAACATTCACAGAATTTATTCCGTTGGATATCAATGGTTCTGCTGTTGGATAACTGTCCACAGAGGGTTCCTGTGTGAAGGCCTCAACAAAATATCCAGCCACGGCTTCTGCTTTTTCCCTGCAGTCCTCAATCAGACAGTCATTTTCTGTCTCATTGATTAGAGTGGGTGTACCACGATACGTCTTATCTCTGTGGTTCATAAAGGAAAATAACCTCTTTGGATGTTGCAATGCAGCCTGGGCAGGACCTGTTTCAAAGCACATTCCAGACAGGTGGATGGCAGTGATACATCTCTTGCGAGCTTCTTTGTGATGCTTCACCACTTCGGGTGTCCCGAGCTGGGTGGCAAGACCCCAACACTTCTTCTTGCGTCGTGAAAAAATTCGGATTTCGTGGTTTATTCCACGGAGGACGGTGTATCCACCCCTTCGGTACGGTCCACGGAATGAACGGTTGGGTCACTTGTGCAGATAAGTGTTTTGAGCAGCATCATGCACCTTCAACTGAGGCTTCTGGTTTGACTGTCCAGTCCTCTGAAGAGGCTGCCACGTTAATAGCTTCCACGCCCTCTTTCCATATGTTGGGTCTAGTCGAAGCATTGGCTTGGCACAAGACGTCTGCTGTGAATCTGAATATGATCACAGTGTGATCACTTTTGCCAGGGGGCGTTAGGTGCAGGATGAAGCATAGATCATCTGTATGTGAGAATACTAGGTCTAGAACTGATGGGGCATGCTGATGATCATATCTGGTTGCAGTCCCAATATGCCGCCTGAGGACCAAGGAAATTGGTGTTTCCACTAACCGGTGGTCAAACGAATTTCGTGATTCTTTCATTGTTAGTCTGTCCCAGTCAACTCATGGTGCGTTGAAGTCTCCTACAACTACGCATTGGCATTTACCTGTCCAGAGGGTCAGCTTAATCAGGAGGAAGTCTGCCTCTTCACATTCAGCGCTTCCATATATCACGATTGCGATGACAGCTTGCCTGTCGCATTTTAGTCGGAAGCGCAGCATTTCACATGTTCCACTTTCATGCGCAACTGCTTCTAAGGCCTTTACAGTTAAGTTATTCTTAACGCAAAGGATGACACTACCGCCTTTGCGTGGCAACCTGTCACTTCCAGAAGGGACGAATTCCCGCGAGTGTGTTTCACACTCACTGATCCAAGAAGAGAGCTTTCGTTGCTTGTTACACTACTAAGTTCAGTCCACTTGTTTCAAAGACTGCATGCGTTTGTGTACAAGACGATGAAACCACTTAGATGAGTCTCCATCCTATCCATTGGGGCCTCGCATCACTTGCTGCCGAAACCTCACTCCACGAAAACCTATTAATTTCAGATCTTGCTCCCCAGCTGCTAATCTGGGTTTTAGTTCTGCTTCTGCTTCTCGTTTTTTGGTTCGATCATGCATAGCCAGATCCTTTCGCACAAGCACTCTAGATCCCCTAGGTCTGTGAGCATCCTTCAGAATCTGGCTCCTCTCACCTGCTGACTTGAACAGGACTTTAAATAGCCGAAGCTTATTTTCGGTAATGACTGTTTCCTGTTTTCCTACTCTATATGTCTTGGGTAGGGTGACTCCCAATATGTTTTCCAGCGAAAGCTGGTTTATCAAACTCCATACCTTGCAAGGGTCATGTCCAAAACCTTTACGTGGTTCTGGGTCTCCACTTTTCTCGACCCTGTGGAAGATTATAGACCTGCCATGGATCTCTACTGTCTTTGCCCTGCGGAGTGATAATGGCTGGTTCGGTGACCGTTATTGGCCTCTTAGAGTGCTGTTTAAACTTAGTTACTTGCCATTTTTCAGAGTCGGGTATGCAAGGTTTACTAAAGCCCAGTCATGTGACCTTGAGGCTGAAAGCCTCAGAACGGGTTTGGATCCCATTCTATTTGGTTCTTGTCAATCATTGGGTAGCTGAACTGGGTATGACCTGCGGCCTGCATGGTTCCGTCGTTGACACTGAGAGAGCTTTACTCCTGCTCCTATCATCTGAAGTAGACCTAGTCTTGCGGTTGACAGTTTTCAGACGGTGGCTGCCAGCTCTGAGGATGCGAGAACCAGAAGATTCTCTCTTGGCCCTGCTTGTTGTTTTTTCCAGGTAGCTATCAGCAAACCTAGTGGGTTTTGTATGCGCCTGACTTACAGCTTGTTGTGGGGGATTCTTAAAATTTTGCAGTGATCTGTGTCAATGGATGCTGTGTTGTTATAACTGTCACAGTTAGTGGCTTTGAGTTTCGAAGACGGTTTCTTAGTTAATGTATTTTAAAGGGTTTTGCTTCTTCTACTAGAGTGCGTATATCCAAGCTGCACAACGTACAAAGCCAGATACTTCCTGCGTTGCTGTACCTCTTATATGCTGAGGGTGTGAGGCTTGCGCAGATACTGTAAAACCAACTCTTACATTCGTCACACTGTATACCAGAAGCTGTTGTGAAGTGGCCCTACCACAAACATTTACGGCACTTTCGGCTCATCATGTGTCAGGAATTCACGCGGTACAACTTCCTGTCTCACTTTAATCAAATAATATTCGGATTTGATCGAAAATACAACAGTCTTTGATGTGCAAACACAAAAAATGCCAAAATCGAATTGAACGTGAGAGTCACTCCCCTTTTTCACCTGTGAATGTTCAAGAATCTCTGTCCTTCTTACTTTAGACCTCACCTGTAATACTACATTCATGCGGCTAGTTCATGAGTAAAACATCACCCGAAGGAAGACTGGACAGCTGTTTCGCCCCACTAGTATTGGACTCCTCCACAGTGTGCTCTGTAAAGATGGTAAAAATTCTTAAAAATAAGCAAAAACACACACCTTCTTTGAAACCATGAGTAGTTTTTTGTCACTAATCAACTTATTTTGTCAAGTACTTTATTCAATAGGCATAGATTACTGAAGTATTTTCATCAGTATATTACACTTATATAAAGGATTTCTTCTGAGAAGATAATCTACTCCCATCTATATTTTTTCACCTTATGACAACTATGCATATGCATTCGCTATCATCATCGTAGCAGTAGTAGTAGTTTAAACAATGTTAGTGATAATAATCGTGATATTTCTTTTCACAGTTAATTTTTTTCCCGAAAGTTTCTATTCTCCAATCTCGTTTTTGTTTGTCCAAGAGATCACTGTTGGTATTCATCACTTTTAGACTATTTACTTATTCTACATCTCTGTTTCCTTCTTCCGTTCTTTCTTCTTCAATTCACTTTTCTTCTCCCTGGAAAACGATTACCGGTATGCGTTGTTGACTAGACGAATATATGTATATATATATATATATATAGATAATTTATTATCCATGACAGTTTTGATGTCTAACAATTCTCATCAATATAATGAATGAGTGAATGAATTAACAAATGAATGTTTAACGCTGTCCATGATCGGTTTCCTCTATATTGCCTATTTTTCACTTAGACACAGTGGTCACTGGTATATAGTAGTGTTATTATTATTATATAGTCTGTGTTGTGAAGACAAGTTTATTGATTGTCCACTGATCGATTTATAACGATAATAATGATTATAGTAGTAATAATAATAATAACAAGATATAGTTGTGTTTACTTCGCTTCCTTTTTTGTCTGTGCACAGTTGTGTGTGTATATGTGTTGTCAAGGCTTTGAGATGTTATATTTCGTCTTCTCAATAATTCCTGTCTAGAAGATATAAATATTGAATGATTGTCAGCGGAAAGAAGGTGAAATTAAAACCATTTAGACAAGTAGTACAATAGTAGACATTGCAGTCTATGCATACCATCTGAAGTGTGTGGGTGTGAAATGTACATCGTATCCAACTTTTACAAGGATATATTGGGGACAGAATAATATGCGTAGGGGAACCAGTTGTATATGGTGATCTCTGTGTATTGAAATAGTACTTGATTCTCATATCTGTTTACTGCACAGTAAATCTGAGGTACAAGCATCTCTTTAACTCACTACAGAAGTGGAAAGAAAATCCTTTAGTTGAGATTACTCTCTAAAGATTTCATCATATGGTAGTAGCTATGCAATATCGTAATATCATTACTAGTAATGTAATAGTAGATGGCGATTAATAAAAACGTTCAAATACAAATCTCCAATAACTCGACTGGAATTTCGAGATTTTGATATCGGTTTGGGATTTCTGCATTAAAATTTCCCTCATCGGGTCCATAGCCTGGTCATTGCCAGTGTTATATGTGAAGCGAGTTAGTTCTGTAGGAGTATCATCCAACCTACACTACTTTCCATCTTGATGTTCGACTATACTGGAGGAAGGCTAAGTAAGGACGGCCGGACCAAAGTATGACTTCAATCCATTAGATCTCTGCGTGATGGTTTGATCCGTACACGGAGATATAAACTGACACTGACTAGGCTCCATGAGATCATAGGAATCCGTGTTAGCACATTCTCGGTTAAAAATGCCTAAAAATCATTCATAGTGGTTCACATAGATTTCGCACATTGTGTCAACCTTCAATATATTTGATACTGGGAGTGAAATGAAAATTTGAATCCTGGCAGGGTTTGAAGCAGTGATCACCGGCTTTCCGACCTGGTGCTACTCTACCGACTGACCTACAAGACCTGACTGCTGACAAGATTTTTATTTCACCTTCAATCACCAAGTGAAATAAAATTCTGGTCAGCAGTCAGGTCTTATAGCTTAAGTGGTAGACCATCTGGCCGGAAGCCCGGTGGTCGCTGGTTCGAATCCCACCGCGGTCCAAATTTTCACTTCACTTTCAATCATCACACAGTATCCATACTAGTCTGCTAAATCATAGCCATCTCAGATAGTCAATACCTAGTATGTCCAATTTTTTTATTCATCAAGTCTGGTTACTATGAAACGAAATATGAAACATACTTAGCCATATTGTGCACATCCCTGCATTAAGCAATGAGTCACATCTATTATGCTCGACGGCTAGTGATACTATCTGGCTGCTAAAATCTCGGTAAGTGGAGCGATGCTGGAACGCATAACTTACTGATTGAAACTCATCTCTCTAAAGAATCGAGTCACAGCTCCATAGAGTAATAGTCGACCGCAAAAAGGCGCTCTATACAACCCACTATAGTCTATAACTTGAAGGCAACATTTTATAGATAATGATGAAGACGTCAACAGTTACCGAAGGAGAGTGAAAGTAACTTCTTCAGATGGATTACCTCCTCCCCCCACACAACAACAATAACCAGAAAGGCGTTTTAAAGTGTAGAAACAATTCTAATATGATTGATGACTATAAAGGGATATAAATTCATTAAAATACGGGCTAGTAAAAAAAACAAACAACATAACTGCTAGATGATAAAAGAAGTACAAAATTAATTTAATTGGTTAATGCAAAATCCCATACATACACAGGATACAATTCTATGAACGGCGCAAGTATATCCAAATAGCCATAGCAATCACAACAAAACCGGTACTTGTCAAAACTAAAGGAATAACCAAACGTGAATTTTCAACAACAGAATATCGATTATTCGAAGAATCATTTATTGATTGATTCTCTGACCAGGAAATAATATCTGATACAGTTGGATGACTTTCATTGTTCACACATTCATCATTGTATGTTCCATAAGATCGTAAGAACTGAAGGATACGCTAGAAGAGACAAATGCAATAAAAGAAGCAATGACATATGAAAACATTTGACTGAGAAGTAAACGCATGATCTTGTATCACATTTGAGTTATACGTATTGTTCAAGGGTTGAGAGGTGGGGCAAGGATGAATGCTATCTCACTGCCTAAACATCGGTAGTGACAATGGGACTCGAACCTGTAACCCAATGCTTGAGATCCACCCACCTAGACTAGTTAGCTAAAACTCCACAGAGGAGTAGATGAAACGAGATAACAAGTTTGAACTTATTCTCTAATATATTGTAAGAGAAGGATTACAGGATACTTTCTGAGTAAACTACTTATAGAATCTGATACAATGGTGCAGAGACTGGAAGTTATCATTGTACCCGTGAACAAATCGACAATTTGGATCGGCTTTATGGACGATACGATATGGGAACGAAGTACAATCCCTACTAGCTGGTCTTAGTCACTAAGTAATCTAGTGTCAAAGATGTAGAACAAATCATCTTGAGGTCGGCATGACCAAAAAGATTTTTAGGATCCTAAGTTTTGCAGTAATCAGGTACCTAACTTTAACTCGGACACAATATACCTGAAAAAAACTAGAGACATTTCAAACCTAATCTTGAATTTATTGTCAGATTTTCTCTTACCACTAGACATTAGAAAAAAGGTATGCTTAATGATGCTCAACCTTAACTGTATTTCTTAACCTGAGGTTGGTAATTAATCCTATCACAAGGAACTTCTTACTTGATTCAGAGCGCGAAGATGTTGAATAGGTGTACAGTGCCTTCTGGACACATTCAATGAAGTATGAGATGTATTTATCTCCATTTGAAATGATAAATCTTTGCTTTTGAATTAGTCTTGGTTAATGCATCCTTTAAAAAGGAGTGAATTGATTGCACGTGTCAACCCAATTCACCTAATCAAGTTGGCGCAGTTGACGAGTTCATAGTATAGACAGGAAAAGGATGCATTCACTTTTATCAATTTAGACCAATTGTTGTGATAGTGAATTATAGGATTCCTTATCAAAGGGTAGAGAGTTTATGCCGTATATTTTAAAGACTCATAAATAAGATCTCCATGAAGTATTTTGAATAACTTTATTATATTTTATCTCAAAAAGTATATTTATTGTGTGCTAAACCAGTAACCCTGTAGCAACGTGTCAACCTTCTCTTGTGTTCGTGTAGCATTAAGTGTTAGAACTGAAAATGTACTACTTAAATGGTACCTACTAACAGCTATCTGTGTGGTATCAGGATGACAATTTCGATTGAAAGAATTAACACTGAGAAACAAAGTGATATTTCTTATGTTATCTTTACTTCAGAACTGGAATTTAGCGATACCTAATTTAAAGATACACAATAAATTGGTTGAATGTATTGACCTTTTCATTGACTTTAATAACTGCTACAGTTCGAACAGGATAGTTCCTGACAAAATCTTAGCCCAGATACACAAAATCTATTTAACATTTGCTAAATTACGTCATCTCTGCCAACGATTGGCGAGATATCCCACAATTTACAATATTAGTTGCGTACAGATACTATTCGAAAATGTAAGAATACACTACAATACAAAAACTTCATGGAGAAACAAAAGGAATTACTTCATGACTGTTCTAAAGAACGGCTATTCACGAGACGTCACAGGATTAGTTTATCTCATTCATCATCAAATACAAAATCATCAACAGGAATCTACAAGCGCATCACGACAAGATGATTCAGACTATTTGTAACTGGTGTGAAACATAAACTAACAAATTCCCTAAAACAAGTGGTCACCTTCTTCGACGTCGTCTACATGAAGACCAATTGGCTAACAAATGTCACGAGATTTCATCACTCATTTCAATCCATGTCGATAACAACCATGGGGACATGAATTTAATTTTGAAAATGTATAAATCTTGGAGGGAGAGAGGAAAGACAAAGAATATCAGAGAATTCCTGAAACTTTGGCATAGACTCAATCTGCCAATCATTAATAAAAATGCTAAACAACAGAAAGGTCATAGGTCAAACAGATAATCACAAACTACTTCATAAAAACAAGTTAGTGAATCTTACACAGACAAATGTTGCTGATGTTGTCTAGAAGGACGACAAAAGCTTCAAGATAAAACCATTCAACTCAGAGAACCTAACACAAGCAAGGATACGCTTCGCTTTTAGCTGAGATTACTGCCATAGTTAAGTAGACTAATCGCTTAATCAAACCATTCTCCTAAAAAGTTAACAATATTTTTCAGAGTTGTAGACTGAATGTGGCTGTATACAGGGTCTATCTTCCTTTGCATGTTACAACAATACCATGTCCTATAATCACCAAGCTTACTGACCATACCACTACTCAAATTTCTAGTCCATACGTTGGCTAACCAAGGGTGTGTTATCAATCTGTTTGTAAATAGCCAGGTCTAAATATCAAGTGAATATTATCAGACGAAACGCAATCAGCAGGTTTTGAACAAAATGTTGATAGCATAGGCAAGTTCTAGAGTAAAACAATAAACACAGATTTCATCATAAGTTGGAAAACGACATATTATCAACCAAATCCTTACTTGGTAATCCTTTTATTTATTTGTCCCTTGAATTCTTGGTGGAATATAGGGCTTAAGTAGCAAGTCGACATTTCACTCTCTTCTCACCAGTCTTCTCTTTCAACCTGGCTCCACCATTCCCCACAAGCTTTCATTTCTTCCTCACACCATATCCTCCATGTCACCCTCACCTCCGACGCCCAACTCGTCGTTTCCCATTTGGATTCCACTCGACGGTCTCGACTGGCCTCACCCGACACATGATGTCCCCAAACCGTCTTCTCAGTGTATGCCCAGTCCAGTCCAGTCCAATCCAATCCATCTCCACTTTCTTCCTGTGCATATTTGTTGTGCGATGGGTTCTTGGTTGCTTGGTTCATTGACAGCCAGCCAGCCAGGCAGCCAGCCAGAGTTCCTTGTTGCTTATTCTTATTATTCTGGCCATTCGATCTAATCTCCACTATCGAGTGAGTGTAGGCGGTAGCTGTTGATGTGATGTATGTCTGGAGTTTGTTGGAAATGCTTTCCGAGTTACGCGCCAAGTCTATGAACCATCACATAGAAACACTGACTTAGTGTTGAAAACCGGGATGTTGTTCACGCTCTATGGTGAGTGCAGTGCAGTGCAGTGGAGTGGAGTGGAGTAGATCTCCACACTGATCATTTCAGATTAATGCAGGAATGTCTGTCTTGCTGTCTTTCCGATCCTGGCTTTGACATCCTCATCTGTGCCGCCGCCTGTAGTTAGTTAGCTAGTTAGGTAGGTAGGTAGGTAGGTAGGTAGGTAGGTAGGTAGGTAGGTAGGTAGGTAGGTAGGTGAAAGAGACAACTTTCTTTAGATTTCTGATGGTGATTGGTGCATCTTGTTGTTGTTAGTTGGGTATCTTTATCACCTCTACTTCTGTTTTCTCTACGTTCACCTCAAGGAAGTCCCGTCTTCCTTCGTTGCCTCGCCTCTTCTGCCAACTTGTTAGTTTTAACCAGTAGATCTTCAACCTTGTGCGACATTAGACAAAAATCATCATCGGTGAGATACAAGTCTTCTAGTGTCAAAGTCAAAACTACTAACCGCTAGACCACGCGGGACTGATCTCGCATTTCTATACCATAACTTCTCATTTCTTTCGCAATCCGGATAGCCTTGCCAGCCAGCGTAAAATATAATGCGGACATTTCATGTCCTTATTCTTACTTTCGCTTTCATCGAGAGAGAGAGAAGACACATCGGCCAATTGGCTTCCCGAAGCTTTTCACCAATGGGCGTCATTTCGTCTCCACGATTCAGGAGAAGAATAAGTTCATTCCTATTTTTTATATTTTCTCTACATTTTGAAGTTTTTTTAGGAACTGGATTCGTTATACATCATCAAAATCAACATAAGACTAGGCACTACTGCTAAACGGTTCAACTTGCCACACCTCACATCAGTACATCAAGTAAAACGGCAGTGAGGTACAAGGTGAAGATAAGAAAATTCAGTCAGAAGAAATATAAAGTACTAAACGAAAGGAAGAATGAGACAATGGTGAGATTCGGAATAGCGTTATTATAAGGATAATGTGCATGAGAGTACATTTACGCCACTCACATCGGTTCTGAGCCGTGATCCCCCAGAGTCAGTCTCCAACCACTGGTTCTTCTTGTCCCGCCGAACCCAACCACCTAGTCAGCATCGAACCACATAGCTCAGACACTTCATACGTCAGTGCGATGTTTTAGCCTGGCTGCCTCGGCCCTTATTCCACCATAAACCTACTTCCGCAAACATTGTGTGAAGAGGCAATCGACGACTAGGCATGCATAATACTTGTCCCAACCATCTCAGTCGCGTATACTACGAAGACAACGGTGGTCAAACACTTGAAGCCTTCTCATATCTTCCACATTCAATGGCCATGTTTCACTGTCATACAGTAGAACAGAGTGGACTGCTGTGCAGTACACACGACCCTCAATACACAATCGGATATCACGGCGGTGCCATAGGTGGTGTAAGTTGGCAAGAGCCAGCCGAGCCCTTTGTATCCGTGCAGAGATTTCATCGGCCAGACTCACCAGGACACAGCTAACCCCACTTCCTAGGTAAGTGAAGTGGTCCACACACTCAATCACTACACTCCCTATTGTAAGCCCCAGTGAGGCACCGTTGAAGACCAATCCTGGAGCAAAAATTTGCATTTCGGTGGTGAGAAACGCATCCCAAACATTCTCAAGTTCCCACTCAAAGTGTTCACAAGACTGCATCTCATCAGTCAGCGTCTTCACCTAACACGACTAGACTATGTCGTCGGCATATTCTAGGTCTAACGAAAATTCTCCACCGATTAGGTCAACGTCTGTGTAGTCAGATGACGAGAGAGAGACTTCCGTAAGAAAATCTATGATAAAATTGAATAAGAATGGAGAGAATGGGCAGTCTTGATGGACACCATTCGATGAGCGTAGCTCCCTGGACATCTCACCATAAGCTGTAACACGCCCACAAGTGATCGAGTAGAGGGCCTTCAATAAGGTAATGTACTTACTCGGCACACGTTTCAGTGAGAGACATTGCCATAAGACTTCTCGATGAACGCAGTCGAATGCTGCCACCTTCACGTCGAGAAATACAGCTGTTGTTGGGACCTGGTGCAGTGTGAATACTTGGTCAATACACCCGCGGCCAGGTCTAAAGCCTGCCTGGTTTTCTCGGGCTTGCTGTTCCCGAGCTCCAATCAGGCGTTGGAGAATTATAGAACCTAGAATTTCGGACACTATGTTCGTCAGGCTGATTCCTCTGTGGTTATCCCAGGATTACTTCTCGCCTTTCTTGAAGACTGGAATAATCAGTGACTTAGACCAGTCGGAGAGATCGTATTTGATTCCCATATACTGGTTAACACTTCGGTTAACCTGACTAAGAGCACCTTACCACCATTCTTGTATACCTCTGGAGTTAGTCCGTCTGGTCCTGCCGCCCTTCCTCGTTTAAGGGTACCTACTGCTTTCTTGACTTCTGATAGTGTTGAGGGGCCTATCTCAATGTTCCATTCGAGATCCGACTGGATAGCGGGCAATGTAATGGTGGCCAGTTAAACTTCTCATCGAAGTGTTCTGCCCATCGTTCCGGTCGTCTCCCCTGCGTGTGAATCGCGGATCTGTCCTTCTCCGCTATAGCCTCACTAACTGTTGGTTTTACGGGATAGCGCTGCTAGCCCTACGCCCAATCTTCCGTCTTTATCCGGGCTTAGGACCAGCTAGTAAACTAGGCGAGGTAGTCTTAATTGTAAACTAAATACCAGGCCTTATGTGTAAACATGTCGAGCTTTTTCACTTCTCATCATTTTCTATTGTTTCATCATTGATTTATTTGACCTTATCTAATTTTCATTGTTTATCATAAATGCTTGCATTAACCAGTTTTAAATGTACTGCATACACTAATAAATTACCGTTCTCAGATGAATTTCACCTACATTTAAATATACAAAGTTTATAACAAGCAGACAGATAGACATTTTTGATTAGCTTGCCCCAACCAACTGGTTTGTGATTGATTGCTTCCTTTGATTGTTGTATCATTGACTCCATAGATTTTCTTTTTGTCTGTTCTTTATGCTTGACCTATGACCTTTTTATTGTTTACCATTTTTACTAATGATTGGTAGATTGAGTCTATGTCTATGCCAAGCTTCTAGGAATTCTCTGATATTCTTTGTCGTTCCTCTCTTCCCTCCAAAATTTATACATTGTCAAAATTCAATTCATGTCCATAGTTGTTATCCATGTACATTGAAATGTGTGATGAAATATCGTGTTGTTTAACAGCCAATTGGTGTTCATGTAGATGAAGGTGGTGATCACTTTGTCCAATGTGGTGTTGATTGACTACAGTTATTTGGATTGTCTTTTTTGATTGTTGCATCCTTTGGTCTGGGTCTGGAGGGAATTGGTTGGTTTACGAGGCAGCCACACGAATTCCAAGTGGTCGCAGTAATTTTGTCGTGATTCCTGATATGTTCTTTATGTATGGTGGGATGATGCGTTTGTTGATTTCTGTCGATGACTTTGTAGTTGGTGATGAACAATATAGATGTATTCGCTGAGGTTTTGAGGGTAGCCATTCTTTTTTAGCATAGACATCAAGTAATTGTCTTCTTGGATAATTATGGACATGAATTTAATTTTGGCAATATAGAAATCATAGACGGAGAGAAGAAAAACAAAGAAATATTAGAGAATTCCTGGAAGCTTGGCATTCAGGTCAGTCAGTAATCAATAGATGTTTCAACATAGACCCAACCTACCAATCAATAGGTAAAGTGATAAACGACAGAAAGGTCAGAGTTCATGCAAAGGAAACCACCAATCAAAAACCAGTTTGTTAGGGTGAGCCACTGAATCACTCATGGACAGATATTAACAGCTCACTACTTCATACTGAAGTTGGTATTGATGATGTTGTCTAGAAAGACGATGAAAGCTCCACCATTAAATAACCCAGCCCAGGGAACAGAATACAACCAAGACCATTTACCTGAACTACAAATATTCTCCACCATTTCACACGGAAAAAATCAACGTAAAACCTCCTACACAAGTGAATCTGCTCAAGTTGCCACACTACACAATAGTAAGCAAATGGTTAATGGGAGGAGGGAAAATTAAAAACCTAAGTATACTCAAATCATTGGAGAAGAATTAACAATTTTCAGCCATTTTGCCAAGTATCCAGTCACTGATAGTTATAACCTCGAGAAACCTAGCGAGGCAGTCTACACTTTCTCATATGGCTAAAACCAACAGTTACAGACTTCGTCAACTGATGCCATGTTTTTGTCTGGCAACCATGAATCCACTGCCTACCTAATCCAATTTCCCCTAGCATGATACGTCGAGGTAGGCGTTGTGTTGGTATGCGCAACATATTTTCAAGCCATGTCAGACGATGAAATTTCACAACATTACCAATCGACTTTTCTTCCTTATCTAATAACATTCACCTGACTTTGATACTAAGCACATAGTGATTTCACCTTATCCAAGCAGTGCTACGAAGATATATGTGTCATACTCGTCGTCTGATACATAGTTGAATATCTCATCCGTCGACGCCACATATAACGCAAAATGGCAAATGCCGAACGACCCTTCTCTATAGGAGTTGGGATTTCGTCAGCAATTTTCTCATTCGGGCTGATGCAACTCCCCAAATAAATGAATCGGTCGACACATTCCACTACTTCACTCCCTATAATTCAACTGGGAGTACATGCAGCAGGCCAGTTCAGAAACATTATCTTAGATTTGACAGGTGCAAACTAAACATATGCCAAAAATATTCAGACTTTTGCTCAATGAGTTGACTTTATCACCATCTTGATCTAGCAGGATTACATCGATTGCGTACTCAGAATCGATCTCAATGGCGCACATACAAACACACATTATCTACATCGTAACCACTATACAGGTAGACTGGATCATGCAACAAACTGTGAAGAGCGAGAAGATGGGCATACGCTGTTTGACAAACGAAAAGACCTACCTACCTACCTACCTAACTAACTAACTAACTAACTAACTAACTAACTAACTAACTAACTAACTAACTAACTAACTAACTAACTAACTAACTAACTAACTAACTAACTAACTAACTAACTAACTAACTAACTAACTAACTAACTAACTAACTAACTAACTAACTAACTAACTAACTAACTAACTAACTAACTAACTAACTAACTAACTAACTAACTAACTAACTAACTAACTAACTAACTAACTAACTAACTAACTAACTAACTAACTAACTAACTAACTAACTAACTAACTAACTAACTAACTAACTAACTAACTAACTAACTAACTAACTAACTAACTAACTAACTAACTAACTAACTAACTAACTAACTACAGGCGGCACAGGCACAAATGAGGATGTCAAAGCCAGGATCGGAAAGACAGCAAGACAGACATTCCTGCATTAATCTGAAATGATCAGTGTGGAGATCTACTCCACTCCACTCCACTGCACTGCACTGCACTCACCATAGAGCGTGAACAACATCCGGATTTTCAACACTAAGTCAGTGTTTCTATGTGATGGTTCATAGACCTGGCGCGTAACTCGGAAAGCATTCCCAACAAACTCCAGACATACATCACATCAACAGCTACCGCCTACACTCACTCGACAGTGGAGATTAGATCGAATGGCCAGAATAATAAGAATAAGCAACAAGGAACTCTGGCTGGCTGCCTGGCTGGCTGGCTGTCAATGAACCAAGCAACCAAGAACCCATCGCACAACAAATATGCACAGGAAGAAAGTGGAGATGGGTTGGATTGGATTGGACTAGACTGGGCATACACTGAGAAGACGGTTTGGGGACATCATGTGTCGGGTGAGGCCAGTCGAGACCGTCGAGTGGAATCCAAATGGGAAACGACGAGTTGGGCGTCGGAGGTGAGGGTGACATGGAGGATATGGTGTGAGGAAGAAATGAAAGCTTGTGGGGAATGGTGGAGCCAGGTTGAAAGAGAAGACTGCAGAGAACAGAGTGAAGTTGCGACGTGCTACTGAAGTCCTATGTTCCACTGGGAACCTAAAGGACAAACAATAAATCATAAAAAGCACTATATTGAATTCAGCATTTTCTAATTCTTTATTCATCTCTTTTACTGATCTCTTCTGCTTTTGTCGGACTTTTCTTAATTGTCTAATCCTTCATCTTAGTACTTTGTTACTTGATGTGCTGATATATGAGATGTAGTAAGTTGGATGACTACGCAGTAATATCTGGTCTTATGTAGATCTTGATGATGAACCTCCTGGTTGAAAATCAACTTAGTTTGTTCAATAAAACACATACAAAAACTCAATGACTATCAAATTACAGTTAAGAACCAGTCGATTCTCATTAGAACAAAACAACCATTACACAATGTATAACATGGAAAATTTGATAAAAACAATCTAAATAAATGAATGTAGAACAGTAGAATAAGGGGGGGGGGGTGATAACATGAAAAGCTTGACGACGCCCACACATTCACACGTTAACTTTCACTTACCCATCCACCTTGTTGTGCAATCCAAACAAAAATATTAATTTGTCGACAAAAATTAATTAAACATCGACAGACTTGATAGAAAGCATTAGCAATGCCTCTTTTAACACGATGAACTACTAAACGATAACCAAAGTAGAATAAGGTGATTACTTGACCCAATTTGTTGGACCACGTGTAAATAATCTGATTTTAAAAAAAAGGAACAAATAGAAGAAAATATTGTCCATTTTAATTTATTAAGATAAAATCGTGATTAATCAACTTTGACAACGTGTTTGTCCTCCACCAGATACTTGAACATAGCCATATATATATTGTAGGCCAACAATTAGTGTATTTCTTAACAGCAGGGAGCTACCTTTGGTTTCAAAGGAGATACAGCAGCAGAGATCCTGAAGAATTAAATGTCCACATCACTGAAGAAGACATTCTTCTCTGAGAAGCTACAGATCAAAGCCCAAGTTGCCACTTTAGGCCACCTCAATGTGTGTCTACAAATTTACTTGCTCCTGTGGAGCAAGTTATATAGACCATACAAAGTGTACACATACTAAACGTATCTCAGAGTACTATCCTGCACGGTTGTTGAGGAGAGAATGTAAATCAATTAACAATTCAATTCTTGAACATTTAATCAACTCTGGACACATATATAGCTCGACCAGAATCCTCTTTCAGTGTCATATATAGAGTCCAAATGGAATAATTCAAAAGGAGTATGCCTTCAACAGTTGTGCAGAAGTACTAGGAATTCATCAATTTAAGCCTCATCTCTGTCTACAAAAGAAGTATGTTCAATCTCTTATTTTACCATGCCAAGTTTTAACACTTTCACAATCCTTTTTCAATTTCATTACACAATTAGTTAGTTTACTGTTATTATCACCTTTATTATGAACCTTATCTTATTCTTCACCTTCTATCTATCAAGTTGAAACTCAGTATTCACATTTCTTATCTACTAATAACTTTTATCTTGTCTAACTCCTTGCCTTCCTCGTTATTTCTACTGTCTAAGAGATTATTACTCAATTGCTTCCCATTCTAAATTCCAGTTATTTAGCATTAGGTTAATGATACAATCATATACTCTTGTTTACTAATAGACTGTTATATGTTTATGATATATGTATAAACATGATTGTACAGCTCAAGGAAATGATATCGTCGAAAAAGAAAATTTTCATTGCTGAATAACCTCTTCTTTTCTCTATGACTCAATGGGCATGTTTCATTGTTTGAAGGAAGTGTGTGATGGTGGTGTAGGTCTACTACATCGAGAACGGTTATTTGACCTCGAATACACAGACGATATCGTCTTAGCGTGCAATAACACACAGGCCTTAATTAGTTGGCAAGTATTGTACGTAAGTATGATATGTGGTTTGCATAAATGAATATCAATATATCAATAAACATAACAGTTAAAGATTATTGTCATCATGTACAAGATTCTGTTAATTTTACTATTTTGTTTTACTGATGTCACTCTTCAGATACACATGTGACATGAATCAATAAGTTATGTCTAATTTATATATCATGAAAAGTACTTGCATGCAAAACTTTATTCTGATTGGTTATTCCTGTAATCTACACTACTATCATCTGATTGGTTATCGTCGAAATAGAAAACGTGGGTAGGCTACCATTACAGTAAAAAGACAAGCGCGTTTAATATTATGCAGAATTGATGTGATTGATATGTTGGGTGTAATTGCTTCTAATAAACGCACTTACAATCCTTCTTCTTCTTCTTCTTCTGAATTACTATTTCTAGTAAATATTAAATGCGAGTATTCAATTCATATACAGATATATTACATGGAGTGACTTTAGAAAAAGGTCACTCTACAAAATAACGAGATAATCAACTATATTTCTTTACTTTCTAAGAAAAACGCTTATCTTTCAAACTAGAAAGAAGAAACTTGACTAGTTATCTATACAGTTGATACAATGGCACTTAAAGTCAGTCATGCAAGTTTCTACATAATAATTAGTACAGTACACTTTATACGGAAGACAGTAACGGTTACAGAATAAGCGTAAGATGCAATATACAAAGATAATTGAAACACGTTTTATCATATATATTATTATGATTATTTCTCTTTTGGGTTCCCAGTAGCACGTCGTCATTTCACTATCTTCTCAGCAATCTTTTCAACCTTACTCATACGATCTCCACACTGATTATTTCAGATTGATGGAGGCCTGTCTTGCTGTCTTCCCGATCTTGCCTTTAACATCGTCATCTGTGCTTGTGCCGCCTGTAGTTGAAACGGTGCTGTCTGGGTAGGTACGTAGATGAAAGAGACAAATACATCAAGATTTCTCACGCTGATGGTAATTGGTGCTTGTTGTTGTTGGTAGTGGTTGGGTATCTTCATCACCTCTGTCTTCCCTATGTTCACCTGAAGGAAGTTCCGTCTTCGCTTCCCACTCTCTCGCCTCTCCTGTTAACTTCTTAGTTTTCGCTTGTAGATTTTCGAGTTTGTGCGACATAAGACATCAGACATAAATCATCATCGTTAGCGAAATGCAAATCTTCTGTGGTCTTTTCATCGGTCAGACAGCTTATGCCAATTTTCTCGCTCCTCACAGTTTGTTGCATGATTCAGTCCAGTCGACCACAATCAGGAAGGTGATCTGTGATAGAAGCGGTAACCTTGTCTTCACCTCAGAGGCATCGCTGAGTTTTCCATTATGAATCACTTGGCATGTAGCATCATATAGCATACAGCTACCGAATGAGCTCCGAATAAAGGTTTGTGGCATTAAAACCGTAGTGTTGAAGCAGCTGCCTGTCAAATTACTTCTCAGCTCTGTCGACACTATTGAAGGAATGCCTTTTCAAGGTGGATGAAGCTCAGGTAGAGTTGAGTTGACTGGCATTCTTTGCTGAGTTCCATAATGATGCGTAGCGTAGAGTTGTTATTTGATCGGCACGTGTTTTGTTCTTACTAAAGCCAGTCAGTGTGTTCCGGTCGTAATTTTGAATGCAGAGCATTTTTCAGTCTCTCTCTCCATGATGATGCGGTTTAATATTTGGTTTGAGCATGATTCCACGCCAGTTTTTGCAAATACTTGGGTCACCCTCGTTTGGCAGTTTGACAAGGTAGCCCTTCTTCCAATCAGCAGGTGCCTTTCCTTCCAAACCATCTGCAATAGAAGTGGTGTGAGCATGTCCGCTGTTGTCTCTGCATCTGTTTTCAGTGCTTCCGTGGTGAGTGCCTTCTGAAAGTCAATTTATCGTTATATAGTGGATTTTTGTGTCCACAGAATGGTCTAACGGGTCACTTATGATCACGTTTCTTGAAGACATTTTATGCATGCTAAGAAATTCTCTTGTACAGCAGTACATTACATGGTGGGGTGTATAGCTTTTCAGGTAGTTATTTGAATATGGTAAACAGTTGAAGGGGCTATATGCCTTTCTTAAAGAAACACACTTTCAATAAGAACGACGAAGCTCACTGTCCCATAGTTGTCAAGTTTCCATTCCCCTGTATTCTCATATTTCATCAGATTATTAATGCTTTTGCATGTGTTATCCCTTCGTCAGGTGGACTGAACTGATCGGGCAGGAGCCCATATGCCTCGGTATTGCCTTTGCTACAGTTACATTATAATACAAGCAATAACATTAGAACTGTACCCGTAGCACAAGAAGTGGCTATTGTGACTTGGTAGTCTAATGGATAACGCTCAGCCAGTAGTCTGTTCCGGTCATAATTTTGAATGCAGAGCATTTTTCAGTCTCTCTCTACAGGATGATGCGGCTTAGTATTTTGCTTAAGGTGGACAAGGGTGGAACATGATTCCACGCCAGTTCTTGCAAAGACTTAGGTCGCCCCTGCTTGGAAGTTTGACAAGGTAACCTTTCTTCTGATTTCCAAGTATCTTTCCTTCCTTTTAAACCATCTGCAATAGAAGTGGTGTGAGCATGTCCGCTGTTGTCTCTGCATCTGTTTTCAGTGCTTCCGTGGTGAGTGCCTTCTGAAAGTCAATTTATCGTTATATAGTGGATTTTTGTGTCCACAGAATGGTCTAACGGGTCACTTATGATCACGTTTCTTGAAGACATTTTATGCATGCTAAGAAATTCTCTTGTACAGCAGTACATTACATGGTGGGGTGTATAGCTTTTCAGGTAGTTATTTGAATATGGTAAACAGTTGAAGGGGCTATATGCCTTTCTTAAAGAAACACACTTTCAATAAGAACGACGAAGCTCACTGTCCCATAGTTGTCAAGTTTCCATTCCCCTGTATTCTCATATTTCATCAGATTATTAATGCTTTTGCATGTGTTATCCCTTCGTCAGGTGGACTGAACTGATCGGGCAGGAGCCCATATGCCTCGGTATTGCCTTTGCTACAGTTACATTATAATACAAGCAATAACATTAGAACTGTACCCGTAGCACAAGAAGTGGCTATTGTGACTTGGTAGTCTAATGGATAACGCTCAGCCAGTAGTCTGTTCCGGTCATAATTTTGAATGCAGAGCATTTTTCAGTCTCTCTCTACAGGATGATGCGGCTTAGTATTTTGCTTAAGGTGGACAAGGGTGGAACATGATTCCACGCCAGTTCTTGCAAAGACTTAGGTCGCCCCTGCTTGGAAGTTTGACAAGGTAACCTTTCTTCTGATTTCCAAGTATCTTTCCTTCCTTTTAAACCTTCTGCAATAGAAGTGGTGTGAGCATGTCAGCTGATGTCTCTGCGTCTGTTTTCAGTGCTTCTGGAGGAATTCCATTTGATCCTGCTGCTTACCCAGCTCTCAGCAACTTTATGGCTTTATATATATATATATGTATATGTATATATATATATATATATATATATATATATATATATATATATGTACAGAGAGAGAGAGAGAGAGAGAGATCGAAGATCACTTTACAATGATGTGGACATACGTACAGTAAGCAACGAGGTGTAACCTGACTATCCAAACCTTTGTAGGACGAGTGGGTCTTGAACCGGTAACCCATTGGTAGGAAGTCAACTACCTAGATTAGTGAATGACTGACTGAGGAAATCAACGCAGAACCTCGCACACAAGTGCATCGGTTCAAGTTGCTACACTTTACGCTAAACTAATACACAAAGAACGACAGGGTAAAAAGTTATTGATATTAGAGTATATAAAGTTGTGTGAGAGGATGAACAATCTGAAGATAACGGTTAGTGTGAATATTTAAGATTTAGAAGACGTGACAAAGTGAATACATTTGCGACACTACTACCATTAATTCCTTTTGTTTCAGCTACCCCAACCAGGCAGCCTACATTTACGTAGATGGTTCAGACCAACAGTAAGAGATTTCACCAAATAGTGCTAAGTCTTCGTCTGGACAACCTGAACTCTTTGCCAACATAATCTAACTTCCCCTAGCATCGTATATAAATGTAGGTGATAGCTTGGTATGCGCAGTATATGTCTAAGCCATTTCAGCCGACTAAGATTTACAATCTTATTAGTCGGCCTGCCTACTTTGTCTAGTACTTTTCACCTGACCTGAGCATTGCTCACACGATAAATCCATTAAACGTGAGTAATGCTACGAAGACAAATATGACCAAACACTTGTTACTCCTTTATGTCTTCTACTTTAACAATCATGTCTCACAGCCATACGAAAAGACAGAGCAGACTGTAGAGCAGTTCCTTGACAGATAGTCGGATATCCTATCTAACTTCATTACAGATGTGCTAATGAACATAACCTTAAGTACGTCTGAGTTCATAGGGATTAACCTATTCCCTGGAGATCATCTGGTAGACTTTCAGTATGCAGACGATATCCCGCTAAGTGAAAACAATGACAAAGTACAGGGTCGTCTGAGTGCGTGGAACAGAAATCTGAACATGTTTGGCATGCGTTTCCCACCCGTCAAATGTAAGACGATGTTTCTGGAAATGGTCTGCTACAAGTACTCCTAGCTTAATAATAGGTAGTGAGGTGATAGGATGTCGACCACTTCACTTGCTTGAGAAGTTGTACCAGACCAAATAGGCTGGTTGTTGACGAAATTTCAACTCAGATATGGAAGGTCAGTTTGGCATTTATCAACTTGCATCACCTATGGCGCCGAATGGCAAGACATTCGACTATCTATCAAAGGACAAGTGTTCTGTACTGTAGTCTGTTCTGTGACACTGTGATACATGGTCACTGAATGTAGACGATATGAAGCGTTTACAGGTATTTGGTTTTAGGTGTCTTCATAGCATTGGTTACGTTTAGTGGAATCGCCATGACAGCAATGCTGAGATTACTGGAAGAGTCTTAGATAAAACAGGTAAGTCGATTGATGTGGTTGTAAACCTTTACTGTCTGAAGTGGCTTGGGCATGTACTGCACATGCTGTGTCACTCCCTACCTCGACATGCCATGTTCAAGAAGAGGGTTCAGGGTGACCAGGCTAAGATCCAGCACCAGTCAATATAGTCTTCAACTGTTGGCATGATCCATGTGCGGAGATATAGACTGACTGGTTTGGGTCCTCAAGACGAAACGAATCAGTGGTTGAGGACTGTCGGTGACATGATTTAAAATCGGTCCCCGTGACGCAGATGTATTCACTTCTCGACATCTTCTAAAGCTTGAATATTCACACTAACCGTTATCCACAAATTGTTTATTCTCACACAACTTTGATTTTTATGTACTATTCTATGTCCTTTGGGTTTCTAGTGGAAAATAGAGCTTCAGTAGCACGTCGCCATTTCACTCTGTTCTCTGCAATCTTTTTTAACCTGGCTCCACTGCATGAGAGACTTCGATGCTCTTGGGGACATCATGATAGCCACTCCAAAACTCAGTGTACTCGTAGTTGTCGTCTGGATGGCAATGTCTGAGTAGATTATTGACTTTCCCGTTAACAGTTTGGACAGTGCAGTTCTATTTCATCTGCTCTTGCATATTCCTAGGACTTCTATGCTATATCTTCTTATTTCTTTTGCAATCTGGACAGCCTTACCAGCCAACCAGCTTCAAACATCGTGGGGACATTTCATGTCCCCATTCCTACTTTTGCTTTCATCGAGAGAGAGAGAAGACACATCGGTCAATTGGCTTCCTGAAGGCTTTCACCAACTGGCGTCATTTTTCCTCTCCAATTCCAGAGAGGAATAAGTTTAATTTTATGTTTTATATTTTCTTTGTGCTTTGAAGTTTCTTTAGCGGTTAGATTGGTTTTACTGGAAAAGGTTGCTAGACATATGCTTAACCTTCCTTCTTTATCCGGGACCGGCTAGTAAACTAGTGAACTAGGCGAAATTGTCCACTTTGATATCACTTCTTTTCTATCCACCTATTCTTTGTATACAACCGTGAGTTGTGACAAGTTGAATCAATGCACTTGTGCGTGTGCGTGTGTGTGTGTGAGAGAGAGAGAGAGAGGTTCTACGCTAATTTTTTCATTTATGCTATTCTGTTAAGGTTGTTGCTTTTGCTCTGTTTAGATGTGTAGTACAATCACCATCATCAAGATAAAAAAATGAAGCAATCAACTTACACACGAGCCACATTGTAAAACATTTCCAAAGGACACTCTTCAACTGGTAGTAATTTAATCATTCGATCTAATCTTGGCCCATAAATACGGTTGATTTCGTCACCCATCTCAGCTAGATTACGAGCGACTATAGCTTCAATGCTAGATTAAAATAAAAAGGAATAAGGTAGATAAACACAGAAATGAATTTAAACATTGGCAACGGAAAATAACTAAACAGTAGAAAAGTGTTACAAGGTAGTAGTTTTTATTACAGATTGAAATCAGTTCAGATAGTATTAAAAATATAGAAGTAAAAACATACTGTGGTCGAGTGTAATTCCATTTTTGTCTGTTTAGAGGAAATGTCATACAGTGATGGGACAGTATCATTTACGGGATAACGTACTATTCGGACACAATTTATTGTCCATATTCATATTAGGTAACCAACTGTCTTTCATCTACCTACCTACCTAAGCAGCATCGTTTCAACTACAGGCGCCGGCACAGACGAGGATGTCAAAGCCAGGATCGGAAAGACAGGCTTTCATTAATCTGAAATAATCAGTGTGGAGATCTACTGCACTGCACTCACCATAAAGAGTGAACAACATCCGGATTTTCAACACCAATTCAGTCAAGTCAATGCTGCTATATGGTTCAGAAACTTGGTGTGTCATGAAAAGCACTTCCAATAAATTATAGACATTCATTAACAGCTACCGCCTACGCTCACTCCATACTGAAGATTAGATCAGATGGCCAGAATAATAATAAAAAGCAACAAGGAACTCAAGCCTCGCAACCAACCAACCAAGAACCTATCACTCAACAAATATGCAGAAGGAAATGGAGATGGATTGGGCATACACTGAGAAGGCCGACTGGGGACGTCACGCGTCAGGCAGTCGAGTGGAACCCAAATGGGAAACGACGAGTTGGGAGTCCGAAGTGAGAGTGACATAGAGGAGATGGTGTGAGGACGAAATGAAAGCTTGTGGGCAGTCGCGGAGCGAGGTTGAAAAGACTGCAGAGAACAGAGTGCAATGGAGGCGTGCTACCGAAGCCCTATGTTCTACTAAGAACTCATGGGAAAGATAATAATAATAATAAATTCCACAACTCTGAGACATCCTTTGTATATTCCTTGTTTGTGATGATAAAGATAGTAGAATTTTCCATATATTTGGGATAGCTACAGAATCACCCCTGTTACTGCAAGTATTTGATGTTGATTTAACCAACAAAGATTCGGTTATGAATCTCGCCCTCCCACCACCTAACTAAATTTTTAACACTGTCGCTCTATCCCACTACATTTAGACTTCAAATCATCTCACTCCATCTCAGTTAAAGTAAGCTTAGTTAAATCCCTAAATAATAGGGCAAACATGTTTACCAGCAGGACAGGAAATCTACCATAAGAAATTAGACACTTCAAAAATACCTTGTATCTCAATTATTACCCACCAAAAATTATAAATGAAGAGGATTGCGCGCAAAGACAAAAGACACTTCCACAACACACTGGCAAGTTAAGCAGAACAGACCGCAGGTTGCTGGTAGGAGAGACCTGACAACATTATATCAAATAACCAGGTTACTATCTAGGAGGGAAGAGATCAACACAGATGAAACCAATAAAAAATGATGAAAGAAATCTAATTACCAAAGAAGAGATACAAAGGAAACAATGGGCTGACCACTTCAAGAAGCTCTTGAATCGTCCACCACCACCACCACCTGCACTTTGTCCAGAAATACCACCTGCAGCCATATAACTACCAGTGAACACAAGCCCTCCAACGAAAATCGGAGTCCTGAACGCCATAAAGCTACTGAAATGGGGGAAAGCAACAGGACCAGATAGAATCCCGCCAGAAGCACTGAAAAAAGAAGCAGGAACAAAAGTGAACATGCTCACACCACTATTGCAGAAGGTTTAGAAGGAAGGATAAGTACCTGGCGATTGGAAGAAGGGCAACCTTATCAAACTCTCGAAGAAAGGCGACCTCAGTCTTTGCAAGACCTGGTGCGAAATCATGCTCTTCTCTACCCCGAGCAAAGTATTATGCCGCATCATCTTGAAGACACTAAAGGATGCGCTGGATTCAAAACTACGACTGGAACACGCTGGATTCAGGAAGTACAAATCATGTGCGGATTAAATTGCAACCCCACTCTACGCATCATCATAGAACAGAGTATAGAATAGTAGTCAACTCTCTACCTCAACTTCACCCACCTTGAAAACGACTTATTTCGATAGCCTCGAGAAGTAATTTGGCAAGCAGCCTCTTCAAAACTACGGTTTTAATGCCACAAACCTTTATCAACCTCACTCAACAACTATACGAAGACGCCACATACCAAGTAATTCACAATGCGAAGCTCAGTGATAAAGCCTTTGAAGTGAAGACAGGAAGGAGTAAAACAAGGCTGTCTACTATCACCGATCATCTTCTTGATTGTGGTCGACTGGATCATGCAACAAACAGTGAGGAGCGAGAAGAGGGGCATACGCTGGACCGGGGAAAAGATCCTAGAAGATTTGGATTTCGCCGATGACTTGCATCTAATGTCACACAAACTTGAAGATCTGCAGGCGAAAACTAACAAGTTGACAGAAGAGGTTGAGCAGCGAAGACGGGACTTCCTTCAAGTGAACGTAGAGAAGACAGAGGTAGAGGTGATGAAGATACCCAACCAACACCACCACCAACAACAACAACAAGCACCAATCACCATCAATTGGAGAAACTTGAAGGTAGTAGCCTCTTTCACCTATCTAGGCAGCACAGTTTCATATCCCTGGAGTTATTCAACGTTTCAACAATTTTCTTATTCTTTATTATGTAATGCTAAACAGCAGTATGAAAAATGCTGTAAAACGGTTAAACTAATGAAGTATCAGGTGATTAAGGCGTTGGTTGGCTTTCCGCAACTTGCGTCACGTGTTTCACTGATCAGCTATCTAATAACCTACCACCAACGGTCGAAAGTACCACATACTGCCTCTCTGTGTCCCCCCGTAGGACTATAAAGTATGTGGATTAAAGGTGGTGGACAGAAAAAGTCTTCATGTGTTCGATCGCAACTATCTCTTTGCTTTTACTTGCGAGTTGTGGGACCACGTTTAATGCTCAGAGGTCTTAGATGAATCATTTAACGAAGGGGTATAGCTTCAACTAAGATGGTCAGGATATAACTAACGCATGCCAAGTCATTATCTACGCTGGTATGCGATGTTAGTTTAGGTAATGCGCTAGTTTAGAATACGGGATCAGTTCATGAAGTTTCTCATTTTTACTGCGAGCTGTATAGTGGAATGTAAAATTTTTAGTTGGGATCCAAGCGAGAAAATAAATGCGTGGTTATGCAGCTCAATGTTGGGACTCTGTAGATTTTGATATTGGTATTGCGTTTCATCTTACTTCCTTGTATCTTGATATGGTAATATGAGGTATATCAATGTAAATTGTTACCCATTAATCCCAGCTTCCATGTTCATACTGGTTGTTTGCATATATCCTTTTTTGTGACTGAAAAGTTACACATGTATGGTGCATCTTTTCACTTTGTCCAGTCGAGGAGAGATTTTGTTTACAGATTTACTGGTTTGAACTTCATTGGATATCCTGAGATTTGAACAATGGCAGTTATAATCATTAGTGCCTATTTTGTCTTTCTAATCTTTATTCACTTAGCTACCTTGTACACATTCATGCAGTGGGCAATGAGTCACACCTGTTATGTGAGTGCTTCCCTAAACGACCTCCATAGGCAAAGTTAGGGGAATTGTGGCTCATTGATTTGAGTAGGTAAGTTTAAACCAATAGGTTATGGGTCCCACTTACCGAAGTGGTTTGGCTAACCATGTGGTATGATTAATCCTCATGCAATACGTGTGGCTCATTGCCTACTGCACAGATGTACACAAAGTGGTGAAGTGGGATTCGAATATGTGCCTGATCAGTTGAAGTTTGACTTCCTAAACTAATGAACCACAGTCCCATTATTATCATTTGCACAGAATACATGGATCCATGCCAACTTAAGATTATTCAAGTGTCTAAACAGGATTTTTGTAATTCCAATGATGGTTTTCGGAGATGAAGGGTCGATTGACAAAACAACTTTCCAGTACTCTTGGGTTTTTAATGCTTCCATTTTAGTCTGTTTATTAGAAATGTCACACACAGTGAAGGAATAGTATGATGCAACTCCATTCTAATCAACTCTCCTTCTTTGCGATGACAAGGACAATAAGATTTCCCATGTATCTAGGACAGGTCACGAATCATTTCTATGGCATGTATTTGTTATTACCTCGATAAACAAAGATTCGGTTATCAATCTCTCCCTCTCTCCGTCCAACTAAGTTATTTTTTAACGTTGTTGCTCTGTCCTACCCTACTGTGTCACTGATTATGTGTAATTGCGTGCGTAGTTATAGCCGAGTTTTAATATAAATTGCTTATCTTATTAGAATCTACTAATCAACCCTGGTCGACTATTTTGACCTACACATTTAATCCTGCAATCATTGTAAAGCATCTTGTAAACCAAATTATTTTCCGTAGTTAGATCAATTGGGGTCTTTTAACCTTCTAAGCGAGTTTGTTAGCTTAAATGCCAGTCACTTTAATCCCGGCCAGTCTTATTGAGAATTCTTTGTAATGCTTCTGAGGTCTCCTCTTTGCATGGTAACACAGCAGAGGCTTTGGATTCTACCTCAATCCTGTCACTGTTATTACCACCATTACTACTGTTGTTAGTAGAATTATTATTAATAACATCTGTATTACGACTACTACTGCTAATATTTTTCTTCCGATTTCTTATGAATTTATTTGTAAATCTTAATATTATTATTACTTATCCGTTGGGTTCCTAGAGGAACATAGGGACTCAGTAGCACGTCTCCATTCCGCTCTGTTCTCTGCAATCTTTTCAACCTGGTTCCACGACTGCCCAGAAGCTCTCATTTCTTCCTCACACGATCTCCTCCATGTTACCCTCGCCTCGGACACCCTACTCATTTGGGTTCCACTCGACTGCCTGACGTGTGATGTCCCCAAACCGTCTTCTCAGTGCATGCCCGATCGAATTCATCTCCACTTTCTTCTGCATATTTGTTGAGTGATAGGTTCTTGGTCGGTTCGTCTCGAGAGTTCCTTGTTGCTTATTGTTTCTAGCCATCATGAGCTTCAGTACCGAGCCAGCGTAGGCAGTTGCTGATGAATATCTGTAGTTTGTTAGAAATGCCTTTCGTAACTCACCAAGTTTCTGAGCTATACAGAAGCACTGACTTGACGTTGTTAGTAAAAATCCGGATCTTGTTCCACATGCTGAGTGCAGATCTCCACACTGGTTTCAGGTTGATGAACGCCTGTCTTGCTTTTCCGATCGTCGTTTTGACATCCTCGTCTGTGCCGCCTGTAGTTGAAACGATGATCCCTAGATAGGTGAAAGAGGCTACTACCTTCGAGTTTCTCCCATTGATGGTGATTGGTGCTTGTTGTTGTTGTTGGTGGTGGTGTTGGTTGGGTATCTTCATCACCTCTACCTCTGTCTTCTCTACGTTCACTTGAAGGAAGTCCCGTCTTCGCTGCTCAACCTCTTCTGTCAACTTGTTAGTTTTCGCCTGCAGATCTTCAAGTTTGTGTGACATTAGATGCAAGTCATCGGCGAAATCCAAATCTTCTAGGATCTTTTCCCCGGTCCAGCGTATGCCCCTCTTCTCGCTCCTCACTGTTTGTTGCATGATCCAGTCGACCACAATCAAGAAGATGATCGGTGATAGTAGACAGCCTTGTTTTACTCCTTCCTGTCTTCACTTCAAAGGCTTTATCACTGAGCTTCGCATTGTGAATTACTTGGTATGTGGCGTCTTCGTATAGTTGTTGAGTGAGGTTGATAAAGGTTTGTGGCATTAAAACCGTAGTTTTGAAGAGGCTGCTTGCCAAATTACTTCTCGAGGCTATCGAAATAAGTCGTTTTCAAGGTGGGTGAAGTTGAGGTAGAGAGTTGACTACTATTCTATACTCTGTTCTATGATGATGCGTAGAGTGGGGTTGCAATTTAATCCGCACATGATTTGTACTTCCTGAATCCAGCGTGTTCCAGTCGTAGTTTTGAATCCAGCGCATCCTTTAGTGTCTTCAAGATGATGCGGCATAATACTTTGCTCGGGGTAGAGAAGAGCATGATTTCGCACCAGGTCTTGCAAAGACTGAGGTCGCCTTTCTTCGAGAGTTTGATAAGGTTGCCCTTCTTCCAATCGCCAGGTACTTATCCTTCCTTCTAAACCTTCTGCAATAGTGGTGTGAGCATGTTCACTTTTGTTCCTGCTTCTTTTTTCAGTGCTTCTGGCGGGATTCTATCTGGTCCTGTTGCTTTCCCCCATTTCAGTAGCTTTATGGCGTTCAGGACTCCGATTTTCGTTGGAGGGCTTGTGTTCACTGGTAGTTATATGGCTGCAGGTGGTATTTCTGGACAAAGTGCAGGTGGTGGTGGTGGTGGACGATTCAAGAGCTTCTTGAAGTGGTCAGCCCATTGTTTCCTTTGTATCTCTTCTTTGGTAATTAGATTTCTTTCATCATTTTTTATTGGTTTCATCTGTGTTGATCTCTTCCCTCCCAGATAGTGACCTGGTTATTTGATATAATGTTGTCAGGTCTCTCCTACCAGCAACCTGCAGCCTGTTCTGCTTAACTTGCCAGTGTGTTGTGGAAGTGTCTTTTGTCTTTGCGCGCAATCCTCTTCATTTATAGTTTTTGGTGGGTAATAACTAGGAATATATAAAGACTGTCTCGAAGTTGTGGAGTTAGTTGCGTGATATGAATATGGACAATAGATTGTGTCCGGAACGTTGTTATCCAGTAAATGCTACTGTTTCACTGTATGATGTTTCTAATAAACAGACTAAAATGGAATTACGCTCGACCACAGTGCCTAGGTTTTACACTTACATCCTTTGGTTTGTATAGTTTTTTTCTCTTTTCTCTTCTTAGTTTTTTTAAGCGTGGAGAGAAAAGTCTATGAAAGCTTAGAAAAATTATTTCAGCTGGGCAGGAAATACCAAGTATCTCAATACCAAGATTTAATCCGTTACTGACCCCACTGAGGTTAAATCTGACTTAGTATGCGTAAACACCTCCTATGCTTGAAAGGTAAATAGATCAATGCAGGGTTCGAATGACCGAAATCATGGCCACCACATGACAACTGATTGATTTGATATGATAGATACACGAGTCTAGGAGAAATTTTTAACTGCACTAAGCAAATATATCTTCTAACAAAAGAAACACGTAAATGTACTATTACAGTGATATAATACTGGAGAGATTCATTTCGATTGGACAAGAAGAAAGATCCTATCTCTATAGGTATATTTTTAAAATGGGGACCGTTCCATCTTTCATGCAACCATGTAGAAGATTTGCTATTCTCTAACCACTCATTTACACATATAATGATTGAAAGTACTGCTCAATTGACTAAATAGCATCTTAACAAGTTGGAATATGTTTTACATATGTCAAGGAACAGTTTACGTCAACACAATATGTTAACCCAGTAGGAGTAGAACAGCTTTGCTAAAATAAGGAAGTTAGTCAGCATTAGTAGTGAAAACAGAATAAAGAAGAGAAGGGTGAAACAACAACGAATTTCGAGATGATGATAAAAAGAAAGATAGTTTATGGAAGCATCCGTACTAGTGATATCGATTCTAAGCTACATTACTTACAGTCTGCAACCATTGATTAAGCAAATCAAGCGAACCCCAAGCACATAGCTCAAACAAAAAGTCAAAGATTTCATGGAATGATACCATGTTTTAATCTAGCCGCCTATAACCTTTTAGTTTGAATCTACTTCAATGAACACTGTGCGACAGAATGGACGGTGATTAGGCATATCTTAAACATGTCGTAGTCACCTGAGTCGATGAAGATTCACAACCTGATCATCAGCTGACTTCCTTCGTTTCCCTTAAACTCTACGCTTCATATTCGCATTACTGAAGTGGTAGTTCCACGACAAGCGCTCTATGTTATGAAGAAAACGGTGGTCCGAAAACTTGAAACCTACCCATGTCCCCTCTATCTATTATAAAGAACGTGCTTCACAAGCATATATTAGAACAGATCGCGCTCCTGAGCGGTACACTCAACCCCCAGTAGACAGTTGGAGACTGTGACGAGGCTATAAATCGCGTAAGTCGGCATAAACCAAGCCAGCATTTTGTATCCATCCCAAGATTTCCTCGGTCACTGATCCACTGAGGTCAACACAACTTCCTAAATAAGTGAAGTGGTCAACGAACTCAACCACTCCACTCCCTATTGTTAAACAAGGCACCAATGAAGACCAGTCCTGGAGCAGCAATTTGCATTTTGGTGGCAAAAAGTGCGTCCCAAACATTCCTAAATAGGTGCTAAGTGTGTATAAGATTTTTCATCCCTTAACAGGACTATATCCATTGACCATTAACGGTCTCGTGTACTGCAAACTAGTCCACTCTGTTCCACTGTATGACTGTGAAACATGGCCATTGAATGTGGAAGATATGAGAAGGCTTCAAGTGTTTGACCACCGTCGCCTTCATAGTATACGCAGTATTCCATGGTGTCATCACGTAAAGCACAAATCAGGTGTAGAGTTTCAGGGAGAAGACGTAAGTCAGTTGTCACGTTTATGAATCTTCATCGACTGAAATGGTTGGGACAAGTATTATGCATGCCTAGTCGTCGATTGCCTCTTCACACAATGTTGGCTGATGTAGGTCCAGGCTGGAGAAAGACCCTACGTGGCCAGACAAAAACATAGCATCAATGTGTGAAGACTCTGACTGTTGGTTTCAGCCATGTGAGGCGATGCTGACTAGGTGGTTAGGGTCGGCGGGACAAGAGAAACCAGTGGTTGGAGACTGACTCTGGGGGATCACATGGCTCAGAACCGATGTCAGTGGCGTAGATGTATACACACATCTTAACGCTATACTGAATCTCACCATTTTCTCATCATCCCTTTTTCTCTTTTAGTACCTTATATTTCTTTTGACTGAATTTTCTTTTCTTCTTCGTCTTCGACTTCACTGCCTTTTTACTTGATATACTGATATGAGCTGTGGCAACTCGTATCGTTAGGCAGTAATGCCTGGTCTTATGTTGATTTGGATGGATTAAACAGGATTATATATACCCGAACGAGTCTTCTGAGACAGCAACAATTCTCGTAAAGTTATGCAACGAGAACAAGACCTCCCTTATAAGTCCATCTGTGGCAAAATTGAATAAGAATGGAGAGAGTGGACATCTTTAATGGACACTACTCGACGTACATAACTCACCTGATACCTGACCATGGACTCTAGCAAATCCAATAGTTTTCGAATACAGTCTTCAATAGGATAATAACACTTACTAAGGACCGTTATCCGTGGGAGACACTGGTCGACGGAATCGAACAACGGTAAGTATCCCTGTGCTCCACGATCTGGTGGAAGATGTTAAACTGACGAAACTGAGATAACTCATCATTTCAAAAATTAAATTTGGCTTTCTCTGTTACTTTGTGAAGAAGAATACATTTCATAGCTAATGTTTGAAAGATAATAGAAGTCGCTGGCTGGAGATTCTACGTGATGACTGAACTTTGGATAGTCTTAGTTAGTCAGAGAAAGAGGTTAACGTGAATATTGATCATGCCACAAATTTACAAATAAGAAAACATATTGATTGTTTTAAAAATGTAGTGTATACTTACTACACTATACGATAGATAACCTACCTATTTGGTTCAGCACGTCGTAAAGATGAAAGTTGATTACTGACAGGATCGTCTGATAAACGTGACAGGGTCATTCCTGAGATATTTACTGAAGCCGAAGCTGAAGCGTTAGACTCTGATGATGATGCCCGTGATGATGCTGAGACTTCTAACATATATCGATCTATCATAAAGTTACTAAAAACAAGTTCTGAGGAGGCATCAACTTCTTCAGGAGTACTTGGAGTTAACTGTGAAACAACCTTTATAGGAATGAAAAGTAAGAATAGAAAATAGAAACAAATGGGTAGATAAATATAATTTGTCTCCTTCATCAATTTTCAGGCGTACAATCAAAAAAGTATACGTAGAATACAGTGGATTCAACTATCTTTTTAGTTTACTATCACTAACCTGTTCTACTCTGCTGTTATACAACTGTAAGACATGGTTGTTAAAAGTAGAACAGATGTAGCGGTTATACAGTTTTCATCATAGATATCTTTGTAGCATTACTCTTGTGTGGTGGGGATCACTATATGAGCAATGTTAAGGTCAGGAGAAGGGTTAAAGGCAAGATAGGCAAGTAGACTGATTAGGTTATGAACCTTTCGTTGACTGAGGTGACTTGGACATGTACGGTACATGACAAGTGACCGCCTGCCTCGACATGGGAAATCAATGATAAAAGTAAATAGTTAAATGTAAACAAGAGTACATATGAGTAAACTGAAGATTAATAGTATGTGATAATAAGATGTTCAAAATTTAGAGGAGGATACACTTGAACATGAGAACTGTCATCATTTAGAGTCTTCAATCTTCCAGAAATGTCACTAACATGAGCATCTGTCCATTCCAGCCAAAACAACACATCATTCGGGCTTAAAATAGCTCAATGATAACCTTTCTGACTTCAGAACTGGGCAACGTGGGTTCAAATCCCAGGCAGAACATCAGTTTCATTGAGGTTACAGATACACCTTGCTGACGAGTGCGAAAAAGCACCAAAATTATATCAGATAGGGTTTCCTGCCGATTGCCTCTATGCAACTAACATCTGTCCCAGAGCATCGCGACGGCGAGTCTGCTTAGCCTGATGGCCACATCGCGAAATGATCGACAGAATTCGACCAGCGCATAGGACTAGACAGCACGAAGTTGGTTACCCTCCAGTGAACATTCTGTTCGACATGCATATAATAAAAAGTACACTGAAACTAACCGGATATTCGATATCCATTCGCCTGGAACTGGCTATCTAGTGGAACATCAATCTTTTAGATGACTGGAGGCAATCGACAAGTTTCATGCTTTCTGGCACTGAAAACAGACGGAGAGACATCAGCTGACATGCTGACATCACTTCTGTTGCAGAAGGTTTGGGAGGAAGGAAGGAAAGCTACCTGCTGATTGGACGGTCTACCTTGTCAAACTGCCAAGCGAGGGTGACCCAAGTCTTTGCAAAAACTGGCACGGAATCATGCTCAACTCTAGTCTACCACAAGCTAGCAAAATATTAAATCGCATCATCATGGAGAGAGAGACTGAAAAATGCTCTGCATTCAAAATTACGACCGGAACACACTGACTGGCTTTAGTAAGAACAAAACACGTGCCGATCAAATAACAACTCTACGCTGCGCATCATTATAGAACTCAGCAAAGAATGCCAGTCAACTCAACTCTACCTGAACTTCATCCACCTTGAAAAGGCATTCCTTCAATAGTGTCGACAGAGCTGAGAAGTAATTTGACAGGCAGCTGCTTCAACACTACGGTTTTAATGCCACAAACCTTTATTCGGAGCTCATTCGGTAGCTGTATGCTATATGATGCTACATGCCAAGTTATTCATAATGGAAAACTCAGCAATGCCTCTGAAGTGAAGACAAGGTTACCGCTTCTATCACAGATCACCTTCCTGATTGTGGTCGACTGGACTGAATCATGCAACAAACTGTGAGGAGCGAGAAAATTGGCATAAGCTGTCTGACCGATGAAAAGACCCCAGAAGAAGATTTAGATTTCGCTAACGATGATGATTTATGTCTGATGTCTTATGTCGCACAAACTCGAAGATCTACAGTTGAAAACTAACAAGTTGAGAGAAGAGGTGAGGCAGGACAGCAAAGATGGAGCTTCCTTCAGGTGAACGTAGAGAAGACAGAGGTGATGAAGATACCCAACCAACGACAACAACAAGCACTAGTCAGCATGAATGGGAGAAATCTAAAGGAAGTTGGTTCATTCACCTACCTACCTAGACAGTATCATTTCAACTCCAGGCGGTACATGCACAAATGAGTAAGTCAAAGCCAGGATCGAAAAGACAGCAAGACAGGCTTTCCTGCATTATCTGAAATAACCAATGTGGAGATCAACTGCACTGTACTTAGAATAAAGAGTGAACACCATCCGGATTTTCAACACTAAGTCAGTCAGTCAAGTCAATGCTTCTATGTGATGGTTCACAGACTTGGTGCGTAACTCGAAAAGCATTTCCAACAAACTACAGACATATATAACATCAACAGCTACCGCCCCTACACTCACTCGATACTGACACTGAAGATCAGATGGCCAGAATAATAAGAATAAGCAACAAAGAACTCTGGATGGCTGGCAATGAACCAACAAACCAAGAACCCATCGCATCGAGTGACATGGAGAATATGGTGTGAGGAAAAAATGAAAGCTTGTGGGGAATGGTGGAACCAGATTGGAAAAGAAGACTGCAAAGAGTAGAGTGAAATGGCGACGTGCTACTTAAGCTCTATGTTCCACTAGGAAACCATTTAAAAAAACAGAAACAAAATTTTGTAATGAGTAACTGACTTACGCGTAAGTCAATATTAATATTGACTGGTCGTTGAGATTTTGTTGTTTCTAAACTATGCCCACGTTGTCTGACAAGATTAGTAGAGATTGTAGGCTTATCTGCATTATTATTATTAGTTGTTGTTATCTTCAAAGAATCTTCATCATCTTTTAATATATTATTGTCACAATCATTATAATCTTCATCGAAATCTACTTCAACATTACGTATAATATCTGATGGTGCACCACCGGTAACAGCAACAACTTGTGCTGGTGAACAACGATCTAAATAGGCTGGAATATTAGTTGTACTTAACTGATTCATTGATCCTTTATATTCATCACTAATATTTACAACTGTCTTAACGATTTCATCATCTGGTCCTGAAGTCAATTGACTTATTTCACTTAAATTTGGTTGTATAAACATTGTCTCATTAATTACATTTGATAATGTTGTAGAATTATTCAAAAGTTTATCTATAGAATGATTCATAGATTGTTCTTCATTAGATTGTTGTGATATGTTAGATTTGTATACAGATGAATGAATTTCATTTTCAATAGGTATGATTACATTGTTTTGAAAACTCGGGAGAATATTATCACTATTATTATTATTATTATTATTATTATTATTATTATTATTATTATTATTATTATTATTTAATCTACTAGAAGGATTTTCATCTTCAGGTTGATTATCTAACATGGTTATTGCTCCTAGTGATGATGACAATGATGATACTGGAAGATTATTGAATTCATTATGATATTGATCAGTATTTGATATATTATTCTTTGGTGGATCTTTAAACTCTAAAATTGTATCTGATGAAGTATACAAAACACTTTGTATATCTTGAGTTATTAAAGATTGATTTATTTCATTTATATTTATAGAAGATGAAGACATTGTAGCATTGTCTGTATTCAATACATTATTCTTATCTTGATCGACATGATTTAAGCGTACAATGATTTCATGTTCACCTAATGATTCATCTGTTATATTGGATAGTTGGGATGAGTTGGAATGATGAGCTGATTTTTCTAATGCATGAATTAAAATTATTTTATTCTTTTTATTCTGAACAATTTCTTCTTGAATTAATTTTTCATGAGGTTCACTTTCTTCTTTTTCTTCATCTTTATTAACTCTAGGTGATGAAGAGGCTTTAATAAATGAATTCAGAGATATTTTACTCGGAGAAAATGTTTCATCCATAGAAGAATTAGCATTCGGTGTAGACGCATCACTTGTATCTGAAATTGTCATATATGATGTCTGTGAACTCCAAGTGGGATCAATCTATAAATGAGAAATTTAACCAAAATGATATACATATCACAAAAAAAAAACAAGAGTAAAAGCCAGCCTACTTCAAAAATGTAAGCAGTAGAAAAAAAGACGAAACAGTCAATGAAAACCAAGAGAAGACAGCACTAAGACGATCAACACGGTTGCAAGCCCGAAATTTTGAGGGGGGAGGGGGGTGGCGTTGCTAATAAGAATGGATATAAGTAGTATATGTTGAGAAGGTGGCAGGAATCATAGGGAATTACCAGCAATGGGTAAGGATTCCACCAAGAGCAACTCAAAGGATAACGCAGGTGTATTACAGTAGATGCTGCTGATAAGAATGTATGAAGAGCAAATCAAGAGAGAAACAGAAGAGGAAACGAAGCATATTTCGCAGATGGCACGTTTAGTCCAAGGTGTACCATATGTAACGACTATCGTTCCAATTGCTGACAATAAACATTCTTTACGTTGTGTCTGTCTTCTGTCTCTTTATTACTACTTGCATGGAGATGTATAAAAATGACTTAAATTTTTAGATATCACCATTGCGTTAGTTGTTTTTACTCATCAACAAAACGTAAGCATTTGTTTATGATTTAAACAAAGGCTCCACGGTAACGTGCTGGCCACAGTACCTAAAGGTCGTGGGTTTGACCCCTGGATGGGTTGTAGTGTGCGCTGCCGACGAGTTCAATACTAGGACGAAACAGCTGCCTAGTGCTCTCAGGTATTCAATAGTTCTTCAACTGATGCCAGTCCATAATGAATACAAACCTTAAACAAAGATACCTATTGGGACCTCAAATATTTCAAATGGTTAGTTGACCATGATATCATGAATACAGTTACCAACCTTCTTTTAAAGTATCAACTTTCTTCCGGAAAATCCCCCAACGGAAATGTATGCCAATAGGCGCAATTTATTCACACATCGTCTGTAATAACTAGCTTATTGTACCAGTCGATCGCTCAGGTGAAAGTAGGGTGGGTAGATAGGAAGGTAGGACTCAATAGTCGGTAGTTAAGTAGAACATAACGAACAAAACGTTACAAATATCTGACTTCAGGGGTATTGACTCTTAGTATGTAGATGATATTTCCTGCCGGGTGAAGACACTGACAGAATACAGTGTCTTCTGAAAACCAGTAAAAATTTGAGTATGCTTGGCATACGTTTCGTTTGCACTTACCTGTCAAATGTAAGATGACTCTTCAGGACTGGTCTGCTACAAGTAATCCCAGTTTAATAGTAGAGGTTGAAGCAATGGAATGTGTCGACCAGTTCACTTACTTGCAGAGATGCATCCGCCTGAACCAGCTGGTTGTTGATGAAACCTTACCTCGGGTACACAAGGACCGTTCAGTCTTCCCCAACTTGCGACATCTATGACACCCACTGGCCAGATATCCGACTATCTACCAAAGGATGAGTATACCGCGCTGCACTCCATTCTGTCCTTTTATACGACTTTGAAACATGGTCGGTAAAAGTAGGAGACATGAAGCGGTTAAAGGCTTTTGATCATATGTCTTCGTAGCACTGCTCCCGTGCGGTGGAATCACTGTGTAAGCAATGTCAAGGTTAGGCGAAGGGTACTAGGCAAGACAGACAAGTGAACTGAGATAGCTTGAATATGTACTACGCATACCAAGACACTGCCTATCTCGATGTACCATGCTATGGTAAGTTGGATGAAGTTGCAAGATGGTTCACGGTGGTCAGAATAAAAAGTAGCTTCAGTCGATGAAGTCCCTAACCGTTGATCTGAGCCGTTTAGAGGTGTGAATTCCCTGGTTGAGGTCCTCACCGATATTACAGGAATCAGTGATTGGGGACTCTTGGTGATTTGGCTAAAAATCAGTCACAATGGCGCAGATATCTTCAGTCTTTAACTGACATCTTCTACGGCTTGAATATTCACACTGACCCTGATCTTCAGATTGTCTACTCTCTCATACAACTTTGCCTACTTTGATATCAGTGTTTTCTACTCATTTACTTTTGTATGCGATTGTGAAGTATGGCAACTTGAAGCGATGCAGTTGTGTGCGAGGTTCTACGTTTTGTATGTCTGTCTGTTATTAGATAATATGGTTGACATTATCACTTGACTATCTGAGATAGCCATAGTTTAGCAGACTAGGATTTATACTGGATGATGATTGAAGGTGAAATGAAAATTTGAGCCACGGCCGGATTCGAGCTACTGACCACCGGATTTCCGGCCCGATGCTCTATCAACTGAGCTACGAAGTACGTGCTGCAAACCTGGTGGTGACTGGTTCGAATCCGGCCACGGTCCAAATTCTCATTCCACCCTCAATCATCACCCAGCATAATGTAGTAAAGACAATCATTATATATATATATATATATATATATATATATATATATATATATATATATATGAACTATGATCAAGATTTGGTCGTATAGTATGGCAAATATAGGGCGCTGAGTAAACATTTGACATTAGATATAGATTGCATCTTTGTGTAAGTCACAGTGGGTTTGAAATCAAATAATTCCAAAGTTGTTTCGCATGGAAGTCTGATTCGGGCTTCTTTAGAGAAATAATCTCCTTGTCCAATCCTCTTCGTATAGTCATTGTTTTGTTTGTTTCTAAATTATGATAGCTGATCATTCAGTATGAAATTGTATGTCTTTTATTGTATGGCATATGTATATTGTGTGTCTATATATGTACTCCAATCGATATTCGTGTTGATTGGAAATATCAGACAATATAATCATTCGGTAATTTTATAAGTACAAATTGAAAAGGGTGAGGTGGACGTGTATACAATTTCAGTTGGAATTAAGTGGCGCATAATGTTAGCGAATTTCCCTCGACTTGATTTGCCGGAATAGAGTGGTAATGATGGTGGTGTATTTTTGAGATGAATGGGGATTTTTAATTTAGAAGTAGTACTCATGATGGAATGACATCAGTTGGGGAACCATTGAAAATCTGGGAGCACTGGATAGTTGTTTCGTATGAGTATGGGACTCCTCAGTAGTACGCATCCACGACCCCACCAGGCAGGGATCGAACTCAGGACCTTCAGGTTTCACAGCGAACGCGTTAACCATTCAGTCACTGAGTTGGTTTCCAGTGGTTCACAATTTTCAACTTTTGCCAATTCATGACATAGCGCGACTACCACCCAAGGTTTTCAGTTAGCATCCACTTCACTTCCGACTGGTTGACCCTACAGGTCACGACTTCTCATTAGAACTTCGTGATATCTATCTGGAAGCAAGTGACTAATGAGCACTATACAGTAATGTATTTTTGAGATGAATGGTTCACAAAATTTTGAACCACTGGAAACCGACCCAGTGACTGAATGGTTAACGCGGTCGCCGTGAGACCTGAAGGTCCTGAGTTCGATCCCTGCCTGGTGGGGTCGTGGGTGCGTACTACTGAGGAGTCCCATACTCATACGAAACAGATGTCCAGTGCTCCCAGATTTCCAATGGTTCCCCAACTGATGTCATTCCATGATGAATACTACTTCTAAATGATGGTGGTGGTGGTTATGATGATGATAGTAATAATGAATCAAATCAGTCTAGGTTATGTTGTTGTTAATGCATAAATAATGGAGTTGAGACTAGTGTTGACGGTAAATGTTTTGAGTCACTCTTTCTGCTTACTAATTAGTAGTTGCTAAGAGGTGCAGCTAACCGTACTCCATCTCGTCTGTTCGCCCATATATGTAAGGCTTCGACTGTCAGTCTTTCTTGTTGAACCTTAGTTCTGTCAAAGTCAATTTTGTGTCCCATTTCTATAGAGTGTAAGGCGATCACGGATTTGTTTTCTAGTTTCTTAACCTCTGCTGAAGTTTTTAGGATCTACTTTAAGCATAGTTTATGCTCATTGACTTTCACATTTACCTGCCTGGCTGTTTCCTCTAAATATACTGCAGTACAGTCTCCTTCAACAAATATGCAGAAGGAAGTGGAGATGGATTGGGCATACACTAAGAAGGCCGACTGGGGACATCACACGTCAGGCCGTCGAGTGGAATCCCAGTGGGAAGCGACGAGTTGGACGTCCGAGGGTGACATGGAGGAGATCGTGCGAGGAGGAAACGAGAGCTTCTGGGCTGTCGTGGAGCCAGGTTCAAAAGATTTCAGAGAACAGAGTTCACTGGAGACGTGCTACTGAAGCCCTATGTTCCATTAGGAACCCAAGGGACTAATAATAATAATATAATACAGTCTCCGCATTTGATTTCATAGACACTGAATGATTAGTTATCATAATTTAGAAAAAACAAAAAACAATGACTATACGAGGAGGATTGGACAAGGAGATTAAATACACGTTGTTTTGGAATTCATTTATCTGTCCTTCATATTTTAATTTCGATTATTTCGCTGAAGAATCTCGGACCAGACTTCCGTGTGAAACGACGTTGGAATTATCTGATTTTAAACCCGCTGTGACTTACACAGATATGCAGTCTATATCTAATATACAGAGCTACGTTTATATTTGGACTCGACTAATTGAACTGAAGAGTCTTTTTTCGACGATTTCATTTTCAAAGCTGTACACAATTGCAAATTTATACATTTTTTTTCTAGTGTAAGGGTTTGATAATTGTAAACGGTTTGAAAATACCATTCGGGGACATCGCACGCCAGGCCAGGCACTCGAGTGGAACCCAGATGGGAAACAACGAGTTGGGTGTCCGAGGCGAGGGTGACATGGAGGAGATCATGTGAGGAAGAAATGAAAGCTTCTAGGCAATCGTGGTGACAGGTTCAAAAGATTTCAGAGAACAGAGTGTAATGGAGTCGTGCTACTGAAGCCCTATGTTCCACTAGGAACCCAAGGGACAAACAATATAATATAATAATATATAAACGGTTTGTCAAGGATGGTAGGCAACACAAATCGTGTCAATACATAAGCTGTCATTAAGTCAAAAAAAGCCAAATAAATGTGATGGCTAGTGAATATTAACGGAAATAAGTTTGAACAGGAAGTTTGGAAACTGCATCATGACCGGGAGAACATAACAACAAGAATGAGTAGCACATTTCTTAAGAGGTGAATAGTGTCGAAACAGAAAGATGAAAAGAAAAAAAAGGGGGAGAGTAGAAGAGACTGAAAACTAAGAGACCATGAAAGGAGAAGGGGTTGAACAATCCTCTTTAGCGTACATATTTCAAGTTTCTCCATATGGATGGCAACAGCTTTGGTGATGCAGAGAATACGAAGATATACGGCTTTCAGGAGGTTTCTTTCCACTTTATAGATGACTTGTAACGAAGAGGTTCTTGAGATGGGATGATTTGTGTTCAAGTATGGCACTCTTTATCGCTCCATTGTTACCTCTCTGTAACCAAGTGGGACAGTGCTCTTGAACCCTTTTGGAAAACAGTCGCATCGAACAACCTTTGTGCCTGGCTCCACAAGAGCAGGTGAATTGATATATATACACATACAAGTGATCAGATGCGAAAGTTTCTCCTTTGTTTTGTTAGAAGTCAAATGCTATAAGGAGAACATTCTTTACATCAATACTGAGACTAGTATTTTTCATGTCGCCGCCCAACGATTTCTTATAACTCAAAGGGGAAACACTTTCACATCTGACCACTTCTATGTGCACATATCAATCCGCCTGCTCATGTGGAACAGAAAACACTTTGAAACCTGTAAGGAAGTCTTAGTTTGATTTCAATAAATATTAATAATAACATTACTACTAATAATAATAATCAAAATGTAATCAGACTGCGTAGAGATTGCCACTTACAAAGTCTTGTGCATCCAAAAAATTGCTTGATCCATAGTTTGTATGCTTCAGTGTAGAATTTATATCGTTTTTTTCCTATATTAATGAAATGAGATGCAGCGAATGATTTATCATTGGACAGCTCATTAATCAGAGTAGAGAATTTTTATGAAACAAATAGGTCTCTATAGTCAGATATTAAGGAATATTATACTTTCATCTTTACAATAGACTAATGTGACTTGTAGCTAACGAACTGAATTTTTAATGCTTTATAAGTTTATACGAAACCCACTCCACTATTTGGTTTTGCTGAATGGATAGTATATGTCGGGACAGGCTGACTGGCTTCAGGAAGAACAAATCATGTACGGATTAAATTGCAACGCTACGCTACGCAGCATCATAGTACAGAGTATAGAATGCCAGTCAACTCAACTCCACCTCACCTCAAATTCATCCACGTTGAAAAGGCCTTCAATAGCATCGAACGAGAAGTAATTTGACAGGCAGCTGCTTCAACACTACGGAATGCCACAAACCTTTATCAATCTCATTCAACAGCTATATGAACACGCCATATGCCAAGTGAAGCACAATGGAAAGCTCGGTGATGCGTTTGAAGTGAAGACAGGAGTAAGACAATGGCTGCCACCTACTATCACCCATGATCTTTTTGATTGTGGTGAACTGGATCATGCAGCAAACTGTGAGAAGATGGGCATACGTAGGACCAATGAAAAGAGCCTAGAAGATTTGGATTTCGCCAATGATTTATGTCTAATGTCTTGTCGTACAAACTCGAAGATCTACAGGCGAAAACTAACAAGTTGACAGAAGAGGCAGCGAAAACGGGACTTCAAGCGAACGTAGAGAAGACGGAGGTGATGAAGATACCCAACCAACAACAGCATCAACAACAAGCACTAATCACCATTAACGGAAGAAACCTAAAGGAAGTAGCCTTTTTCGCCTGCCTAGGCAGGCAGCATCGTTTTAACTACAGGTGGCGGCGACACACACGAGGATGATAAAGCCACGATCGGAAAGACATCAAGACAGGCTTTCATCAACCTGAAACAATGTGTGGAGATCTACTTCACTCAGCACGAAGCTTGAACAAGATTCGGATTTTCAACACATGTCAAATCAGTGCTGCTATATGGTTCAGAAACTCGGCGCTTCATGAGAAGCACTCCCAACAAACTACACATTCATTAACACTGCCGCATACGCTCACTTGATGCTGAAAATGGATCAGATGGCCAGAAACAATAAGCAACAAGGAACTCACTCTGGGGAACGAACCAACCAAGAACCTATCACCCAACAAATATGCAGAAGAAAGTGCAGATGGATTGGGCATACACTGAGAAGACGCTTTGGGGACATCACACGTCAGGCATTCGAGTGGAATCCAAAGGGGTAACGATGAGTTGGGTGTCCGAGGCGAGGGTGACATGGAGGAGATCATGTGAGGAAGAAATGAAAGCTTCTGGGCAGCTGTGGCGTCAGGTTCAAAAGACTGCAGAGAACAGAGTGTAATGGAGACGTGCTACTGAAGCCCTATATGTTCCACTAGGAACCCAAAGTAAAAATAAGAATAATAAAGTGGGTGGTATGTAGGTTGGACTTGGTGTACATGAGAAACAAAAATCCCCTCAACAACCTTGTCCACATTTGTGAGGTAGGTGATGAGCTAAACCTATTGCGAGGGCTAGGAATACTACTTGGCTATCAAAACTTCGGTGTGTGAAGTGGTGTTCGAACCCATGACGCACTTGATTGAAAGTCAATTGCTTCATCCAGTGAGCCACATGTCCACAAAGTGTACATGTTGTTGAATGTTATAAATAACACAACAGTAGCCTAAGAAAGAACCCTCTGGAATTTGAAGTGATGGATATTGCGTACAAGTCCCGGAGACATGATCATGCTGTGACATAAAGATGAATCTAGCTGACTAATCCCCAGAACGACAAAAGATGCGTCTAGATATCCATAATTGGCCACCATCAGGTGAATAACATAATAACAAAGGAATATTTGTAAGACCAATTCAATCAACCACATTGGGCAAAATTACCCGATTCAGTTGGATAGTGAATGGAACATTGAGGTAGGCCCCTCAACACTAGCAGAAGTCGAAAAAGCAGTAGATAACCTTAAACGAGGAAGGGCGGCAGGACCAGACGGACTAACTCCAGAGGTATACAAGAATGGTGGTAAGGTGCTCTTAGTCAGGTTAACCGAAGTGTTAACCAGTATATGGGAATCAAATACGATCCCCTCCGACTGGTCTAAGTCAAGAAAGGCGAGAAGTCCTCCCATGATAACCACAGAGGAATCAGCCTGACGAACATAGTGTCTAAAATCCTAGGTTCTATAATTCTTCGACGCCTGATTGGAGCTCGGGAACAGCAAGCCCGAGAAAACCAGGCAGGCTTTAGACCTGGCCGTGGGTGTATTGACCAAGTATTCACACTGCACCAGGTCCTGGAACATAGACACATTTACCGACCCCCAACAACAGCTGTATTTCTCGACCTGAAGGTGGCAGCATTCGACTGCGTTCATCGAGAAGTCTTATGGCAATGTCTCTCACTGAAACGTGTGCCGAGTAAGTACATCACCTTATTGAAGGCTCTCTACTCGATCACTTGTGGGCGTGTTATAGCTTATGGTGAGATGTCCAAGGAGCTACGCTCATCGAATGGTGTCCATCAAGACTGCCCATTCTCTCCATTCTTATTCAATTTTATCATAGATATTCTTATGGAGGTCTCTCTCTCGTCATCTGACTACACAGACGTTGACCTAATCGGTGGGGAATTTTCGTTAGACCTAGAATATGCCGACGACATAGTCTAGTCGTGTTAGGTGAAGACGCTGACTGATGAGATGCAGAGTCTTGTGAACACTTTGAGTGGGAACTTGAGAATGTTTGGGATGCGTTTCTCACCACCGAAATGCAAATTTTTGCTCTAGGATTGGTCTTCAACGGTGTCTCGCTGGGGCTTACAATAGGGAGTGTAGTGATTGAGTGTCGACCACTTCACTTACCTGGGAAGTGGGGTTAGCTGTGTCCTAGTGAGTCAGTGGCCGATGAAATCTCTGCATGGATACAAAGGGCTCGGCTGGCTCTTGCCAACTTACACCACCTATGGCACCGCCGTGATATCCGATTGTGTATTGAGGGTCGTGTGTACTGCACAGCAGTCCGCTCTGTTCCACTGTATGACTGTGAAACATGGCCATTGAATGTGGAAGATATGAGAAGGCTTCAAGTGTTTGACCACCGTCGCCTTCATAGTATACGCAGTATTCCATGGTGTCATCACGTAAAGCACAAATCAGGTGTAGAGTTTCAGGGAGAAGACGTAAGTCAGTTGTCACGTTTATGAATCTTCATCGACTGAAATGGTTGGGACAAGTATTATGCATGCCTAGTCGTCGATTGCCTCTTCACACAATGTTGGCTGATGTAGGTCCAGGCTGGAGAAAGACCCTACGTGGCCAGACAAAAACATAGCATCAATGTGTGAAGACTCTGACTGTTGGTTTCAGCCATGTGAGGCGATGCTGACTAGGTGGTTGGATTCGGAGGGACAAGAAGAACCAGTGGTTGGAGACTGACTCTGGGGGATCACATGGCTCAGAACCGATGTCGCAGAAGTATACACACATCTTAACGCTATGCTGAATCTCACCATTTTCTCATCATCCCTTTTTCTCTTTTAGTACTTTATATTTCTTCTGACTGAATTTTCTTATTTTCACCTTGTACCTCACTGCCTTTTTACTTGATGCACTGATATGAGGTGTGGCAAGTTGGATCGTTAAGCAGTTATACCTGGTCCTATATTGATTTGTATGGATCGGGTAAAATATTTATGCAAGTGATAAGATCTACAAATAAATTATAGAATGGATTACTTGCTTCAAAATAAGCACATGATCTTAACAGTTGTGTTTAGAATATTTCACACCTGCTACTTTAGCGTAAATTGTAAACAAATTTTGGCAAAGTATTGGTCGAGTAAACAAACACATCTGAAAAATATTTTCAGATGTAGGAGGAGGTGACAAGAAGGATAAAAAAAGATGAGACAAGAGTATTCTCGTCGAGAAGTAACTAACAGTGCTTATGTATGTTAAGAGCTATTCCAATGAAGTTGCATACAAGACAAACGGATAGACCAAATCAACGTAGAACCTTTCAAATGAGTGCATCGCTTCAAGTTGCCACACTTTACAGTACGGTAGCATCCAAAGAACAAGTGGATAGGATAAGAGTGGCATCAAAACAGACAAAGTTGTATGGCAGAATAAACAAGATAACGGTTAGTGCAAATATTCAAGTTTTAGAAGCCGCAAAAGAGTGAAGAGCATTTCACAAAGAGACCTCAACAACTGAGGAGGATAGGTTTTGCATACTATTGGAAGAAAGTGGGCAGCTGACATTTCCGGGTTGTCCACACCGTGCCAGGCTATTTCTTCGTAACGCACCTGAAAGGCAAAAAGATTTACGTCACCGCAAAGCCGATGGAACAACTCCTCGAGGTCCGTCACATACAGCCTTTTTTGCGTTGTTGTATTGAGGTTTGGTTGTTTTAATGCCGGACAGATAAAAAAAACCATACCGCCGGCACCGGAAGACCTTGAAGCAGAGGGAGCGTGCTACTTTGGGAAGAGACCTTTTCTAAGTCTTCTTTCCCATAGAGAAGGCAGAGTAGCACTGTTGGTCATTCTAGCGAAACACCTGACTGCTATCACACCCCTATCTAACTAGCAGCACGAATTTGTCCTTGGACTCCCATCATAATGCAATGGTAACTGCTTTTCGTCCTACCATTACCCAGTAGAACTTTCTGCTACGGTGAACAAGCGTTCCAGACAGTGTAGCTCGTTGGGTCATTGTGATAGGCACGTCTGACCATCACGTCAAGGTAGCAGGTACCGCTCAGGTTGCATGTAAAATAACTATTAGTCTGCTGGTTTCACGTAGGCGATTTCTTCTCATTACACAACTAAGTCTTGAACAATTATTTAAGATACGAAAAACAACAATCAATTTAATTCATGTTAGCCATGTACGGGTTAGAGCAGTAGACTACGAGTTGCATATGTGTACAGTTCAGGCCATGAAGAGCATACTGATTTTGAGCTATTCAATTAGTAGATGTTACAGTACAAGTGCTCCTTTCTACTAGATCATGTTATAAACCAGCTTAGCGATTCGCAACAATAGTTTACAGCCACCGAGTTACTATTTTAAAACTGGATTTCGATGTGCCAGCATAGAGAGAAACATAAAACAACCTGGTTCGAACATACCAGTAACGTTACAAATGAAAAAATCAACCGAAATATAGACTTTTCGCATCTTCCCCATATGATGATCCATGCGAACCACATTTTAATGCAAAGCTGAAACATTTTGTGACTTCTTAGACAGTTACTTAATACGAACGAAGCTCTGGTCAGGTATGTATCCTGATGAAGTAAACAAAGTCACTTGGCGAACAAGTAGAAGTAACTCTGACAATTGATATGATCATAGCCAAACCAAAATTAAACACATCACTGAGCGCAAGTACTCATTATAAATATGTCGATAATAAATTTATGCCTATTGTTTCAACAGAAAAGATGAGTACAGATATCAAGAAGACTAATAGCATACGTTCAGTGATTAAAACAGAGGGAGAAAAGCGACACCCACTCAGGAATCTCTCGCACAATGAGCTACATCTATTGTGTGAATAATGACATTACTTGGTCACCTGAACTTTGGTAGATGGAATAGTGTTCAAACCCATGACACACCGCTTAAAACCTAGCTGCTCAAACCAATGAGTTACAGTCTCACTACTGGCTGGAAACTTATAGACAAGTAGCCGAAATAGCTTTTAAAAATCTGTATCAGTGCTACTTATCTCCAAGTTGGTACCGTATCGATATGAAGACCTCAATGTTCAGTCATTCTATAGCTCAGACCAAAAATACTACAATGTCACTGATCTTATTGTCTACATCATAAAGAGTACTACACTACGCTAGATGAAACAAACAGGATAACAGTAATTATAACAATTTAATAAGAATTTGAGTATCTACTTACTTCGGCAGAAATATCCCCAGCACTCCATGTAGACATTTCTCTAAAATAATCGCGAAACTGACAAGTTAGTCACAATTCAAAACAAAATGTTTTAACAAGCTTATATTGAAATGGTGGAGAATATTTGTAGCTCAGGTGGATGGTCAGCTCAGAGAACACAATACAACCGAGACGAGCTTATATCCACCTCAATGACTGCATTCGAAAATCTCTATTAGTTTTCATCGATTAAAAAAGAAACTAGAAGTCTCTTATCGGCAACAGACGAAGAGAAAAAGTAACAGAAACATCACATAGGCTGTGCAGAGTAGGTCAGTATATGGTCCAGACCAACAGTCAAACGTTTCTTGGCTGGGTGACATGCTTCGGTCAACCGATCCCCACTCAGGATAACATAATATGTCGAAGTTGTGGGGCGATGCTGACTAGGTGGTTGGGGTGGGCAGGACAAGAAGAATCAGCAGTTGGAGACTGATTCTAGGTGATATGGCTCAGAACCGATGTCGGTGGCGCAGATGTATCCCCACACACATTATCCTCATCTTAGCTACGCTATACCGAATCTCACCACTTCCTCATTATCCCTGTCCCTCGTTTAGTACTTTATATTTCTTCTGACTGGAGCTTCTTATCTTCATCTTCCACTTCACTGCCTTTTTATTTGATGTACTGATATGTGTGGCAAGTTGGACCGTTACGTAGTAATGCCTGGTCCTATGTTGGTACTGATGAGGATGATGAACCCTTACCTTCAAATCGCCTGTTGTCTGACACATCTTTGTTTACTTTGATGCCTCTTCGTATCCCCTTATTCTTCGTATAATACTGTAGTGTTGAGTGTGGTAACTTAAGCCAATGCACTTCTCTGCGAGGTTCTACGTTAATTTTTTTAGTCAGTCAGGCTGTACATCGAAAACCTAATGACAACCCTCATTTAACCTGACTACTGAGATCCTAATAGGCGATAAAACAGCAAAGGAACAACCAACGACGGTCCAATTTCCGATTTTTGTACTTTGAAAGCAGTAGTTCTGTACCTCATATCCATCTTCACAAACTCAAGGCTTATTTCTAATTTTTAGTCCACATTTTAAGTCCTTCTGCGGAAGGTAATACGAATAAGCGACGATAGCTGACCACTTAAAGACTTATTCACTACCATATCACGGTTTGTACGGCTAAATGCCAAGGGATTATGTGGATCAATATCTTCGTTGTATAAACAATCTAAGCAGAAATAGGTAGTCGAAAATTCAGACAACCACCTTGGTGTCAATGAAAGCCGCTTATACTGTGGTTTATTTTCCGACTCAGAAATAGAAAGATAAGTGCTTCCTTGTTGTTAGGTCTAAGGATATTCGATAGATGATAGGAACAACTATCCGTGATCAAGGACAGTATTATCAAGACGTTCTACCAAAATTTCCGCCAGCCGCACTTCTTTGTTCTTTATCTGAAGTTAAGGCATGAAATAGAAACTGACCGCGTCACCTCATGTCAGTTTTAAGCGAAAGAATGGATTGCAATACAATTAAAGTCTAAAGTTCAGACGACAGCACGATTGTCGAGGTGAAAAATAGTGCCCACTTTTACAGAACGAATAAGGAAAGTCAACACATGAAATGTCAAAAGAAAGCACTTCCAAACGTGCATACGAATGGTACTTGTTATTCACACAAGGAGTAGCCGAAACAGAACTCACAAAATTCGCGGGCGTTTTAGAAGGCGCGCTTCAAAAAAGTGTAAGATTCTTGCGTGTAGTTTCAATCAACAATGAAAATTTAATAGCTTAGAATGAGCTTTTAGCCCATTCATATGGCTCAGATACCCCAGACGTTATTCTGATGAAAGTTCTTGTAGAATATCATGAACTGCGAATGAAACGTCAACCGAAAAAAGAGTATAAGATGGTGGTCGTTGGTTCGAAACCAGCTGCGGTGCAGATTTTCATCTCACCTTCAATCGTCACCCAGTATGAATACTAGTCTGCCAAACTATGGCTATCTTAGATATTCAAAATGAATATAATATTGCAATAGGCAATGGCAGATCACAATTCCTCCTTAGTCCTTTTTACTCCATGTATCACACAAAGAATAATGAGTGTTGATTGGACAATATTTTGGACACAGTTGGTTGCAAATACCCATATCAGGGAGCTCTACAACTTTAGGACATGGATTATGTAGTTCTAATTCTTCCCCACCTTGTGTTTGAGTAGCGGGGTTTTTTGTATATCTAGAAAAGGTGTTAAGTTATACCTATCTAGTTCGCTTGAAGTTTATTCGACGAATAAAGATTTGACTAACAATCTCTCTCCTATTCGCCAGGGTTTTCAATACATCCTTCATCTCCTGTGTTGTTGTGCTCAATGGAATGTGACCACCGAGTTTTGCTCTAGGCGCCTTATCATATGATGGTCTAGCTATCTTGATTTAGCTGGGCTCTTGTCAGAGGGGAGATCGTTTGACTGGGTAGCCGCTCGAACTCTGGGCCGCCAAATCTTTCCATCCCACATACTGCGTCGAGCTTACTCTGTTTTGGTTTTTTCTGACCTGTCTAAATATGACCCTAAATCGAATCAGACAAGGAGACAAACTTTGAAGTTTTCAACCCAAAGCCGAGAACCTGACAAACGCAATCAATAAAATGTATTATGGCGGATGGCGGTGCGCTTTAAGGCGGACTAAACCACGTCAACTGACTACCCGAAATTCTCAGCTTCAACTGCAGATTTCTAATGGGTAGGCATTTACAGTACCACCTACGTTTTGATGATAATCATGATGCTGGTGTGATGGCATTACAAGAAGCCTGGTCACCAAACAACTCGGTTTCTTTGAATGGCCTTAAATTGATTCTCTGGGGTCGTTGTAGTTCCAAGAAAAGTACGGTGTAGGTGTAGCTGCCTTTATTAATACTCACTGGCCCTCATCAAATTATACATATTTCGCCTATTCTAATGACAATATGGACTGTATCGCTGTTAAGCGTCGTCCCACGACTTTGGGTTAATTTCAATTCATTTACATCACCAGTGTTGTTGTGACACCTAGGTGCAGCCCTTCTGAAGTATCCAGACTCACTGGCAAATTCATGAGGTTTGCTTCTCTGATAATGTGTGGTTCACTGTCTGTCATTTGCAGTGAGTTTAGCTCCGTGACTGCCTGTGTTCTCTTGGTCACAGTAGCCCAGCCAATTAATATCGGTTTTAAACGATTCAGGTACCTGATTAAGTTTGGAATGAAAAGCCTTGGTTCAATGTTTGCCCAGAAGATTGTCATATGCAAACCCTTCTAGTATGTGAAGACACACTGGCAAAAAATCACTTGAAAATGAGGCTTTCGAAAACATCCGTGCACTAAATCAGTCGTTCATAAGTAAACTTGATAACATTATCCCATCTGGTTCTTCAGGCATAACAGAAGTCAGTTTTCTTCAAGTCCAGTGATACAAATGTGTTCAAATGCCTTAGGTCGTCAAAACCTTCCCAAAGCCTTGAATGAGATGTCAGGCCAGATACTCAGCGAATGGAGTGATATTATATCTCATCCACTTACGGGTATTTTGAGTGAGTTCTTCGTAAAAAACGACTTACTAGCTGCACGGAAGGGAATTAAAGTAGATCCACGTTAGGACCTCGGAGCTCAGTTGGCAGAGCATCTAGCCGGAAATTCGGTGGTCTCTGGTCTGAGTCCGACTGCGGTTCAAATTTTATTTTCACCTCCCACCATAGCCCAGTATCGATGCAAGTCTGCCGGACCACGGCTATCTCAGATAGCCAAGTGATAATAAACATATTATTATTTTTATCCATTCATCTGGTGGTCACAGAAATCGACCTGTTAGTCTGAATCATTCCACCTAATTGTTTCAGCTGGAACTCGCAACCAAGCAACTTCGTTGCCCAATGAACTAGAGTGTTCAGTTGCTACCCTAATCTCAGACTAATTAAGAGTTCTGTCCTCGAGTGACAGCACAGTAAAGGATTTGAATTCATCCCTCAGCATCATCATTATTATCATTGTTTCTAATATTAAGTCCTATCACCAGCACAGTTCGACCTTGCCTGGTTAACCAGTTCCCTAGTTACTGGCCGGTCTTAAGCCCGGACAAAGAGGGAAGGTTGGGCATAGGTCCAGCAGCCCTACTCCGTAAAACCAATCCAATCGCTAAACAGGCTCAACAGCACAAAGAATTTATGAAAAATAAAAACGGGCTTATTCCTCGTTGCAATCAAAGAGGTGAAATGATGCCAGTCGGTGGAAGCCTTCGGGAAGCCGGTCGATCGATGTATCTTCTTTCCCTAAAGAAAGTGTAGACGCAGCCTACCGAACACAAGATCAAGAAGAGGGGCAGATGTAGGTTCAGACCAAATCAAGTTGGAATCCTTGAGGGAAGCTGATGACGGACCACAGTTGAAGTTCAACACCCAGAACAGAAAGTGAACCGAAGGACGAAAGTACAAAGGACATCTTCATGTCAGTCAGTCATCAGAACAAAATGGTAGACTTTGAGCAACATCTCTAGAAACTCGGGCCCCGGAAGAACACTGGAACTCTTTGAAAGCTATGCGGAAAGAAACCTTCTTAGCCGTACAAGGAAGGAAGCAGAAACAAGACAAGGAATGGATCTCGATGGACACGTGGAAGCTGATAAAGTAGGGGGATGGCGAAGCGGAAGATGAACAAGTGCAGTGCAAGCATGAACAACGTAAAGAGGAACTGAACATGGCCCATAAAACACTAGGCTGGACAGAGTAGTGAAGAAGAGTGCGCGCAAAAACAAGAGACACTTCTACGACACACTGTCAAGTGAAGCAGAACAGGCTGGTAGAAGAGACCTGACAACATCATACCAAATTACCTTGTTACTACTCGAAAAGAGATCAACGCAGCAGAAACCAATGAAAAATATCGCAGGAAAGCCAGTTACCAAAGAGGAGAAACAAAGGGAACGATGGGCTGACCACTTCGAAAAACTCTTGACTGGACCATCACCTGCAACTCGTTCGGAAATATCACCATCAGTCACAGAATTACCAATAAACACAAACTACCCGACAAAAGCAAAAGTCCTGGAAGCCATAAGGTTACTGAAAGGCCGGAAAGCAGCAGGACCGGGTGGAGTTCTGATAGAAGCACTGTAAACAGGCGCAGAGACAACAGCGGACATGCTACAACACTACTGTGGAAGGTTTGGAAGGAAGGAAAGCTACCTGTATGTTGGTGGGAAGAAGATCTACCTTTTAAAACTCCCGAAGAAGGGTGATCAAAGTCTCTGCAAGAACTGGAGAGGAAATACGATGATGTCGACCCCGAACGAAATATTAAGCCGCATCATCCCGGGTAGATCAAAGGATTATCGCAAAACTTACTCGCTCCACTTCCCTCCTAATAGGATGCATTTACCGGCCCCCTTCCTCCTCAGTCGAATACGACGACAAGCTAACAAGCGTGTTCGCCCGTGTGGCAACACTACCACACACAGCGAAAATTATATGTGGTGACTTTAACATGCCAGATATAAAGTGGCGACCAATTAGCTATCCAGAGCGCTTTGATAAATTCATAAGCATTCTTGAAACAGAGGGTTGGCAACAACATGTGGAACACCCTACCAGGTACAATAGTGTCCTGGACCTAGTCTTCACAAACGGAACCACACCCACAAAACTCCAAGTGGGTACACAACTTCCAGGTAGCGATCACAAGGTTGTATATGGATACTTCAATATAACCAGCACAAAAGTGGCCCAAAAGTCAGGAACAGTACTAACTAGAAATTACAAGTATGCCAAATGGGACGAACTACAATCGTTTCTGCGCTGCCTAGATTGGAGCCCCTACTTTACCAACAGTTCAGCCAAAGAACTCTGTGATCTATTCTATGAATATATAGGCACAGCTCAAGACTATGTTGCTCCACCGCTCCGAAGAGAAATTAAGAAAAACAGAGCTGACTATATACCAAAGAAAGTACGCATCCGCATGCGAAACCATGTCAGAGAGTACTATAAGTCGAATGACTTTTCGTCGCTTGTCACACTCAAAGACACATACGACACATTCAAGGCAGAAAGAGTAATAGAAGCCGTTAAACAAGAACGCATCCAATGTAGTAAAACTAGTAATACAGAAGCACTAGTGAGACTGATGAAAACCCGGATAAGTAGCTCCAGAAATAGTACCCCTAGTTTAATCATGGACAACGGCATCCTCTACGATTAACCCCTACAAATCAGCGAGCTGTTCGGTTACCAGTTTGCTAGCTGCTTTACACAAGAGGACGAAATAAAAGTCATTGGTGCACCGTCAACACCAACTCACTCCATAAGTACAGTGCTCTTCTCTAAACAAAACATTTCTCTAGCTATAGCATCACTTCGAACCTCATACAGTGCGGGGCCTGATGGAATTCCAACCATCTTGTTAAAAAGAGGTGGCGAAGATATACCGCTGATTCTCTTGAAGCTCTTTAATACGTCCCTCTCCAGTGGCAATTACCCTGAGAACTGGAAACTATCATACATATGTCCTAAGCATAAATGTGGACCAACATCTAATATAGAAAACTACCGACCTATAAACATCACGTCAGTAGTATCCAGGACTATGGAAAAGGTGATTGTGAAAGCAGTTGTCGACTATATGACGACTAACCAATTACTCTCACCAGCACAACATGGATTCTTGAAAGGCCGGTCATGCACTACAAGCTATCTTGACTATCTAGACAACGTTACAAGCAAGCGTGACCAAGGCCTATTTGTAACTACCCTTTTCTTAGACTTCAAGCAAGCATTCGATAAGGTGCCTCACAAACGCCTGGTCACTAAGTTGCAATCATATGGTTTCCGAGACCCGTT